GTACACAAAATTAGCGGGAATAGGATGAAACGAGCGAATGTGATTAATGGCGGTGTAAATTAGCAAAAGCCAACGGGTCGGCCGCTTTCTTTTTCCGACTTGGCTGGCAACGACTCCCAAGGGCACGCGCGGCACGTGAAGAACAACCGGAAGCGAACAACTCGAAGGAAAAAGCGCGCGGACTCTCATAAGAAGGAAAATTCGCTGCATGCTCGATAATTGGAGCTCGTCGGCTGCCCTTCTGCGGCAGATTAGAGGAGAACCGTGGGATACGCGTTCTGCAAGCCGAAAAGGCAACATTCTTTTACATTCCGGTCGTTCGCGAAACGAACTGCGAAGGGAAGTCGATTTTTCACGATTTTTTTTTCACTCTTTGGTCCCATAAATCACCAAGCGGTGTTATTCCGCCATTGTTAATGAAATTTGCGTGTTATCGCTGGACCGCCGGCTTTCATGCATTTACTGGATGGAATTTCGAAATATAAAAATTGCACACGATTCGCGTAACAATTGCAAAAATATAGAAAATATCGAGATATCTGAAGAATTTTAAAATAACCTCTACTTTTTTCTATTTTTTTTTTAGGTACTATTTTCTTTTTTGATAAATTTGCAATCTAGTTATCACAAAAAGAAGACGAATTTTCGATAATTTAACTTCAAAATGATAGAAAAGAAAATATGTTAAATACATTTTTAATGTCACCTTTAACCTAAATTATTCAGCTGATTTATGATACATTTTAAACAGCCAAATATGAAATATCTAAATTAATTCGTTGCATTCCTTGGAAAATGGATTGTTAATCAAAGATAATCAGACTAACGCGATAAACGATGAAATTCCAACCTGTTATACACTGCCGATTCGAAACGAGCAGCGTGATTTAGTAGACAGTTGAACGAGACGAAGTTGAAGAAGAAGAAGGAAAAAAGATCCAGTTTGAATTTCTAGGATTATTATGCTCTCGACTCTTTTTTTTTTTTTTTTCTTCTTCTTTACTGTTCATGCTTCGTGGCTCGAAACGTCAACGAGATCGAGCGGAAAGCAGAACAAGTGGAAGGGGATCACCGTGTTCGGCCAGCACTCGTAACTCTCATCGAGATATAAAGTACCGAGCAAAAAACAAAAAAAAAAAAAAATTCATACTAATTAAGCCCTCCAGCCGAAGGCAGTATCGCTGATTTTCGAGACGTTCGGATCCCTCCTTCAACCACCGTGAACCTGCGACCGATCGATTTCCTGTCAACCCACGATATTAGGATTTCGTTGTGATCCCGACTACAATGCAAATCACCAGAGAGCTCTTTATATATAATTCAAGGTGCTATTTCATTTTGTGTGAGTTTTAATTTGATGAGGAATTTTGTATTCGCAATAGTCGCGTCAAATTTAATAGTATATTTCTTGGAGGCAAATTTATTTTTTATCAGAAAACTGAATGTATTGTCTCAATGGATTAGCCGAATATTTATTTCATAATCGTACAATTATTCTTTTTCCACATTCAAATGACACTATTTACTAAAAAAGATATACTCTCTATTTACTAAACAAGATATACTCTCATATTCTTACAGAACGTATTCATAAAATTCTTACATCTTTAAAATTCTCCTATCTTATATAGAATCTTCTTGCCAAAAAGTCTAAACTCTAAAAGCAGTTGTCCAGAAGATTATTCGACGCAACAATAGAATAGAGGCAGCTAAACAGCGTCAACTTTAATAGTATATTTCTTGGTGGCAAATTTCTTTTTATCAGAAAACTGAATGTACTGTCTCAATGGATTAGCCGAATATTTATTTTATAATCGTACAATTATTCTTTTTCCACATTCAAATGACACTACTTACTAAACAAGATATACTCTCTATTTACTAAACAAGATATACTCTCATATTCTTATAGAACATATTCATAAAATCTTACATCTTTAAAATTCTCCTATCTTATATAGAATCTTCTTACCAAAAAGTCTAAACTCTAAAAGCAGTTGTCCAGAAGATTATTCGACGCAACAATAGAATAGAGGCAACTAAACAGCGTCAACTTTAATAGTATATTTCTTGGAGGCAAATTTTTTTTTATCAGAAAACTGAATGTATTGTCTCAATGGATTAGCCCAGTATTTATTTTATAATCGTACAATTATTCTTTTCCCACATTCAAATGACACTACATCATCATTTCTTACTAAACTTCTTACTAAACTTACTCTCATATTCTTAGAGAACGTATTCATAAAATTCTTATATTTTTAGAATTCTCCTATCTTATATAGAATCTTCTTACCAAAAAGTCTAAACTCTAAAAGCAGTTGTCCAGAAGATTCTAGCCAAATATTTATTTTATAATCGTACAATTATTCTTTTTCCACATTCAAATAACACTACATCATCATCATTAATTTCTACTTACTAAACAAGATATACTCTCATATTCTTACAGAACGTATTCATAAAATTCTTACATCTTTAAAATTCTCCTATCTTATATAGAATCTTCTTGCCAAAAAGTCTAAACTCAAAAAGCAGTTGCCCAGAAGATTATTCGACGCAACAATAGAACAGAGGCAGCTAAACAGCGAGCTTTACACCGGGCAAAGGGTGTATTCTCCGTGGAAAAATATTCGTAAATCGGTTTCGACTAGCAAGCGCAACATTCTGATAAAGCTTCAGTCCCGGGAACCGTTAGCCGGGGAAGAAGAGGGCGTAGCTGGCTGGCTGGCGAGCAAAGAATTCCCTCGGGTACTCGAAATCACCGCGTTAATTCTAAGGTGTCTGAAAGTGGCTGAGCCAGGCTTGCGGTACGCGTATTCTGTACAGGTAACGACGTCTGTGTACGTGTGCTCGGGCTACGTGTAAAGAAGATCGCGGAGAACGTTGATAGTCCGTTAGTGTTGGTTGGATGACGTCGGTAAGCGTACGAGAGAGATTGGAAATGGCGAGACGGAGGACCCTCCTCGTCTGAGCACTGCGGTGCTTGTGTCAGCGTTGTATCCCGGCTACCCCTGTCCTCACACTTCGCAAATAACCACTGCCGATTCATTGTTTAAGCCTGAGACAATAAAACGAACGCCAGCACGGCCTCCGACGTATTCAGATGTTTCTAACATTCGGTTCCTCACTTCCCTATTGCCAATCGTCCAATTTCTCGTCATCGAAATTTCAGAGGATGACGCGTTCTATAATGTTTGTCAAGATTAAGATCAAGATATTCCCTCGATTATATGGGATATATTTGAAGAATAACGAAAGTACACAGTATGATTTTAATAAAGAACTTGAAAACTTGAGGATTTTCCGTTTTTGATATGTCATGATTCTACGAGACTTGAAGAATACAACGGATTCCGAATAAGTAGTTTAAACTAATTTCAGATATTTCTCTTTGGCATAATTTTGCGTCATTCGTAAGTTGATAAGACGAAAATTGTCCATCCGGTGCTAGCCGGTCGCCTCATCAAAGTACTGTCGCGTGTCGCTGGAACATTCGAAAGGAATTGTAACACTCGTTGTCAGCTGGTAATGGCTGGTTTGAAAAAAATGTGATGTCGCGTGACAAGGTCCGCTCATCCGTATTCGACTTAAGTGTTTTAGCTTTCAACTTCGTAACGTTGGAACTCGTTGCAGATGAGCGTGCAGACATTCCTCGGCTGCTGTTACTCGCTCGTTTTAAATGTCACGATGCATGCGAATGTTCCAGCAACATGCAAAAGATTTATATAATAGAACACGATGGAATGTGTCGGTGTCGGGAATCGATAATCGTCCCGCTCGTTCGAATCAATTAATTTTGACTAATATTTTACAATCCCAGCGTTTCATTATGGAATTTGACAAGAATGCGCGGTGAAATTCAAGTAGTAAATTCAAAAGTCTGAATTTCGCTCGCAAGCGGTGGGAAATAGAATTGGGCGTGGTATCGGGACGATGACGAGAACGACAGTTTCGATATTGGGCGAGATCCAATAACGTTTCAATCATAGAATATATCATTGAAGAAGCAGAGACGTCAGGTTAATTTCAACAAACGAAACTCAGAAGATAATTACTCGTTATGTAAGAAAATGTATGTGAGCGAATTCTTTTAAAGTAACATAATTATTATAAATTATAAGTAAGTCACTTTAGATTCGTGAAACTTACGAGATACATAAATGCACAGAGAACTGATACCAATTTGTTTCTCACGTAAATTTGTTTTTCGAAACAAATTTCGATCAGTTCAAAACCACTTGAGACGGTGTAAGTAAAGTGAGTAATAATAAATTGCATGTCCGTTTTTGCGAACTAGATTACACTGTTGTATTATGGTCTTTAGTTTTTGCAGTAATTAACATTCGAATAACATAGTAGTTCTCTTAGACTCACCGGAGGAGTACGCACCAAAAGTACAATTCCTCGAAGGTCCTCACTAATCATCCCTTTCGTATAAATACATCCTCTGACCTGGGTTCCATTATCCTGACGTCTACGAGTAGTTAGGAAAACTTACTCATGGCTCCATCATTCACCGAATGAGACACTTTCTTTTACTCTTTTCCTCCCTTTCTTGAACAGAGGATAACGATTACGTTATCCTCCCAAATAATGCAACATTCACAATAATTCCAATGTTACTTTTCGAAACGATAGAATAAATGTAATTTATTTTGAAAGTAAGAAATAAAAGAATAAATTCGAGGTAAATTCAATCAAATTCAAAATGACAAGCTACTGAGACGATGACAGTTATGTGCCTATTTGAAGAGGGGGAAAATCGAGTTCCGTTTACACGCATTGTCGAAGACCACGGAAAAGGGATTTGTCAGACGGCTGGCAACTTTTGTGAATCCAGGCAACTCTATTTCGACCGCGACTAACTTTCCAATCACTGTTTACCTTGATAGGTGGCCTCTATGTTCCTCTTTCACCGAACGAACTTACCGCGTCAGCTAACTTCCAAAAATCACGGATGCGAAAAGTTTCTCTCAATTTTACAGTTGAGGAACAATCAGGGGACAACTTTCAACGATGCTCGATCAAAGGGATGCAACGGGTATTTGCATAAATAGATGAATCACGAGGATGTTTTCTATCTCGCAGGACCAAGCTGGAAACAGAAACGAAATAAAATAAGTTTCTACGTGTGTGACGTACGGAGTTTCGTTGAACAAAAATATACTACGTAACAAAATATTGTTTCAAAAGATTTTAAATTCAATGGTCTCTGCACCAACGTTACGATTATAGGTCTAATGCGTTGCCTGTGCAACTACGTCCTAATCTACTTACGTTACTGTTAGCCACATCACGTATGTATGTACATATTAGAATGCTTATTTATTATATTCATTGGAAAATTTTACATTATTTGATACTTCACACCAGAAAATAGTATGACCCAAATGAAATAATAGAATTGCAACAAAATTAATCGTTCAATTTATTCTAAATGCAATGAATACAGTGAAGCTATCCTTAAATAGTAAAAAGAAAAAAACTAAGCTATGTAAAATGGTAAAGAAAAAAACTAAGCTATGTAAATATTTTAACAACTATGGCAAAGGTCCGATATTTTATTTCATTTTCGAATCTGTCTTAATTGATTATACAAGGTTACTGATACATTACAAAATGTAACATCGAACGAAGAAAAGCAGCGAGGCGCAACGTTCGTTTATTCGAGAAAGTGAAATAAGTATGCGTAACTGTATAAATTACGCACATGTCACGCTATCTTAACCATCTTCCACAGAAAGCGACGCGTGAGATATTCACGCGACAGACCTGTCCTCTCCTACAGGTGAAGCTTCACCGCACTTGAAAGTGTAATGAATAATAAGCGGACTAGCTACAAGCTGTCGAGAGATTTTATCGAGGCTACTGTCAACATCCAACTAATATCGCGTACAACGTGGCGGGTTAATTGGAACTGCCTCTGGGTCTAAGCAGTATTTTCAGAGGCTTAAATCACGTTCGCATGACACCAATGCAGGAACACCATGACCCTCCACTATGAACGGACATCTCATATTCTCTAAAAAGTCAATGAGGCGATAATATTCTCAATGTAAAATATGATTCAGGCAATTCGCGAAAATTGAAAAGTCGAGAACGAATTCAACTCCGATGTTTAAAATTTACAATTATTGAGAAATTATTATCGAGATAGTAATTTAACGATAGTAATTTATCTCATATTTGATTAGTATTGCAAGTGCGCGTATCTTGTTTTTTGGCATAGTTTTATATAGAGAAATTGCCAAGATAATTACTATTCGCATGAATATTCATATATAAGTAGATATACCGCTCTCAAGCAGCCGTCTGACATTAAAAAAAAAACCTGTCAAGACGAATTTAATAGCTAAAATATGAAATTGCATCAAATATCAAAACAATGTATCTTTTCATTGCGTTTAAAAGTAATGGCTACCTCTTTAATACAAGCGCATATTGCATTGATTAAATCGATCAAATGACGAAAATCTCTAAAGTAGTAAAAAGAAGCGTCCATTTCGCAACCTTATGGTTACTTTTTATTTCCACGATCGTCCATCTATCTGAACGTATCCCATTGTTTCAATAGAACGCTTTCGACAGTGTTATTTTTCACAAAGCTTGAAGGAAAAAGTTTGATCGTTTCTACTGGGTAAATAAATTGTCTGCGGAAGTGCTTCAGCCATTGACCAACTTTCTTCTTCCCTAATCCGGCTGTTTTTCGATCCAACAGTTTTTCCAACTTCCGCCGATAACAAATTAACACATACGTCGGTCGTGGCCTACAAAACCACCAATTACTATTGAGAAACGCTACGTTCGAAGCAAATGTCTCAAATTTTCACATTTTGAAATATTAATAAGTAATTGATGATACGTAATTTGTCGATTCAATAATTATTTTTATGATTAAAGCAATTCAACTTTGCTTGCTAATCTCAAATTTTGTTCGTCGTATCGAAATTTGAAACGAATCGCTTTAAACTTTTAACAAACAAAAATATAAGAAATAAAATATTTCGTACCAAAATTTATTTTGAGCTTTTATTATCGTCTTGTAAAAGTGAAAGCGTATTCAACCCACATCACACAGTGAAAATCGATCAATCTCTTCGCTCATTCTTTTCGATAATGAATATTTATTTATTCAAATGTTCAATGTGGGGTTCGTTTCACTATAGCCACGTTACCGAGTTTGGCCGCATGAACCGATTTTTAGCATTTTTACTATTGAATTTTTTCTCGTCATCTTGTTCTCACCGATTGAAGATCGATTTAACGAAGCGAGGGAATAAATTTACATTGATTCCAAGTGTAATATGTAATTTCAAAATAAAATGTTAAATGACTGTTTGATTGTTGCAATATTAAAAAAATATGCTAGTCTAAGTGTTTAGTAAATTTTTCATTTTAAGTAAAATTGTATATGCAATGTATTAAAACATTACACGTAAAGTATAAGCAGAAAAAATGACTCATTATTGATATCGTGCTGTTTAAAATTATTTCAGGTCATTATAGGTCGCTTTGATGTCAGATACAATATCGTATTGTGAAATGTATGTTTATTATCGTTTTTTTCTTTTTTTGCTTATAATGTAAAATACGCAAAACGAATGGAAATTTGGTTACATGAGGGAAAAAGAAGAATTGGAAAAAAGGATACACATTAAAATAAATATTCAGGCCAATCTAAGTTAATATATCACAGAAATGTAGGATATTTTATTTTAAACTATTATAAGTATATAACAGTTTAAATGCAATTTTAGTTATATACTGCATATTAAGAATATCGTTTTATATAGAATATTGTATAAGTATATATTATATATACTCTCGTAGATATAAATTATGTACCGTATAATATATATTTGAACAACAAGAGTATACATATAATATCTGATATTAATAAACGAATTTCCATTCTATAAATATGTTGCAATTCCATTAAAGCAAAGTAAATACGTTTTGAAGTACGGGAACTAAACTCACTTAACCTTCCAACAGTATGATGAAGTTTAGCATCTTCATTGCATAACTTTTCTACAAAAAAATAAATAATATTTATTAATGTTAATACTAACATTTATAATATCATATATATATATATATATATAATATTATTTTACCAGTTTCATTACTGTGAAAGTCATAAGGAACAGGTAAATATTTATCCAGTATTAACTCAACAAAATTAGTAGTACTATCCACAGTTTTCAAAATACTAATTCCCGTTTCAGTAGACATAACTCTATCTGCCTGTTGCCAACTGTACATTCTTAAATAGTGAACTTTATAATAAGTATGCAATTTTATAACTTTAACTTTGTGTTTGGTTCCTTTCTTTAAATTTGTAAATGTTTCAACAGCTGGTTTAAGACACTCTGATATAAAAGACTTGGTCCGGTTCATAATCTGAAATAATAAACACAGCATAAAGATCCAAGTTCTATAAATAAAACATTACAAATACAGTTACGTATTAAAATTTGTGTAACCTGTTCTGGTTCTTCCTTTATTATAGGTAACTTTACTTCTACATAGTCAATTCCTTGACATAACGTCTTATCAAGTGTACAAATAGGCTTTTCTATTAATTTAGCAACTGGCAATGACTTTTCAATCATAGTATCAGCTACATTCTCCATAGTGTTAAACGCCCAATGTACAAATACATTTGTATCTTTTACACGGCCATATACTTCTGTAGATTTACCCCACAAGTAATTTACACTTGGTATTTTACGGGCACGATTAACAGCTTCTATTTTACATACGTGTTTTGATGATCCGACTTCCATATTCCATATAACAATAATGGAATTTTCTGATTGTAAAATGTAATAAATATTTCCTTATATGTTCAAAAATCTGCAATATAATAATAAAAAGACTAGAATAATTTATATACATACATAATCACAATTCATAAAGACACATATCTATAAATAAATAGTTATTACACATTTTAGGAAACATATGATATAATAGTAAATCATTTATATATAAGTCAAAGATGATTATAATATACAATTATTCTAAAAACATTTCTTAATAAATCATTGTTTGATATTTACCTAATATAATCAACTTCAATGAAACTTTGTTCACATTTATCACGTTCCTTTCAATAACTAAACGTGCACCTTTATCTCCAAGCTATTTCACCGAAAAAGTTATTTGTCAAATAATCAAGTACAACAATTATATTTGTTTTTCTTTTACGAAATATCAGAATACTGTAGCGCTCTTCACAATATATAATAGTCATTCGTCAAATGATCGTGTGAGTGCGCCACTTTCACTTCACAGTCATTTACGGGTCATTTCGTTCCAACCCAGTGACCGTACTAAAATATTTTGAAAAATATTCAATTATTTTACAATTCGTATCGAGTTAAAAAACAGAGAAGGTAAGCTATTACTTTCTTAGTAATTAAAAGAGAAAAGAAACTTATTCGCTAGTTAATTTTTGTCTCTCTTCAAGAATGATAATCTGCATCTTTCTGCCGGTGAACTTTTTAAAAATTAGTTTTGTAACATAAAAGTAACAAAATAATTTTCTGTTCTTCGTTTGTATATATTTTTAAATTATTATATAAAAGAGATGCTTGAGTTTCAAAGAGGATGTTGAAATGGCTTCAAAGAGTTTTTAACAACGATTGCAAATCATTATATAAATAATAATAATATTTATAAATTGAAATTAATTTTACGAATATTAAATTATATTATAAAGTAATGTAAAATTAATTTTACGTTTGATATTTAATAATTAATTTATGATTTATCTTATAATACGATAAATATTTACTGCTACATATGTAGAAAGTCCTTGGTTAGAAATTCTTATATATGGTGAACAACACTTCCTGCTAGTATTAACTTAGATACTTCTTGTCATTTGAAATCAAACAGAACTGTTATTATAAAAAAAATAGTAAACATCTAAGAAGTAAAATCCATTTTAAGACAAATTTTTTTCTGCTTCAAAGAAAATATTTATATAAATAAATATTAATCATGTTATAAGATAATTACATGTATATACAAATGTTGTCATTTCTTCTTACTTTATAATAATTTTGTAAAAGATACTCATGTATAATAATCTACAATCGACTGATCTCGATTACTACAAATCGATTACGAGAATCGATTCTAGAATAATTTAAAATCAATATAGGACTAAAAGTAATGATTTTAGATTGAGGAATGGGCATTCACATGATGTGAATAGGTACATCATTCCGAAATAAATATACAAAACATTAAATGATTCATAATTTGATTATATCAAGTAGACTTAAACAGGATCTTTTATTTGTAGATGATGAAACGGAATCAAATTTTTCTGCCTTGAACACTGCTGAATATAAAAATGAAGCTGTCGCCAAACTTGTGAACAATGATATTAGAAGTTATTAATAAAGAAGAATGTTTCAAAAAAATGGAAGGTAACATGAAAACATCAAATGGTATTGGCAAGTATTAAAATATTAAATATTAAATATGACGAAATATATTCATACAATTGTATGATATTAGTTAAAATTCTTTAAAATATAGCTTCTTGAATATGAAGCGTGAAAAATTTATCTAGCTGTAAACTTTAGAAGACCATTATATGTTTAATAAAAAGGGTATACATATATATCGGTCTCTTGAATTATTCTTATTTGAGAAAAGCTAAATAGTTTAAAAAATATTTAAACTATCTCAGTAAAACGTATTTTGGAGTGATCGATCAGTATTTCTTGAATTATATCATTACGGTTGAGAGTAAGAATAAAATTAGTTCCTTCAAAGTAATCGTAGCTCAATAACGGATTCCTAGCCTGGCAAATGTCCCAACTTCGTAAATATTAATAAGGATTAATAAAGTAAATATAAATCATATCAATCATTGTATGATTTATATGATATTTACCATCGAATCAAGTAACAAGTAAAATTATATTTAAACCACAACACATATCTCGTCTGTGATTAAATGGTTATAAATCATGTTATGTCATAGTTAGTATTTGAACTAAAACGTATAAAAACGTATAAAATTATCAATAATTTTAATTCTTTTCTTTGCTATACAATTTCTTTCCTTAATAATTCATTTAATAATTTTTGTTTCTGAAAATATCATTTTGAGACTAATAAAATTAGTATAAAATAAAATTTACGTGAAAGATCTTAAACTAAGAGAAAATCGGTTTAGTTTATCTTAAATAGAATATTTCAACATCTTCTCATATTACATTTTTATTGATACAAGATTATAAATTTTGTACGTAAAATATGTATATAACAAGTACAAATAGTAGATAAATTATATACAATAATTTTATAAAATAATAATGAGTAAGAAATTAATAGTTGCATAATTTTCATTGCAATTACAGTGAATTTAGATATCACATTTTTCAGATCCTTTTATTACAAAAATATAATAAATTTTAATTGTGTGCCTCTCTTTCTCTTTACATATTTAATTGTATAAAAAGTTAAATGTCTGACATAAAGTGCTAGAATTATGTGTAAAAATAGTATTCTAATGTCACAAATATCACACTTATTTGCAGTTAATTGAATGAAGGATGATATCGTTTTCATTATTTTTGTTACATTTGTTTGTTTCGAAAAATGTATATAGATTAATTATAGATTAAATATACTATTAACAGCAAAACATAGTAGAAAAAGTGACCAAAAATAATTCAAACCTTACGTGATTTAAAGCCAGATAAATTTCATACATACATTTCTTGAATAAAAATTTATTATTCTTTTTCTTACGAAATTATCACATATTTTTGCAATTGAAATTATCACTTATTTAAGTTATATTTCTCAATCTGTTTGCTCGAGTGATTTCGAATGAACTTATCAACTTTATGTAACAAACATTTACACCAATGAACACACATACTTGGAATTTCTATTCTATTAGTTTCTATGAGTCATGTATAAATTAAGGTCCAAATCTTTCTCACGTTGAGTCAGCAAAAATTAGATATGAATGTGATTATCTAGTTACTATTATCAATTGTATTTGTACAATTATTATCAGTAAGATTTCTGCTTACTTCTTTTCCGTATTTTCTTGATTTGAATCTTTATTACCGTTTTGCTGATCGTTCAAGTTTAAAAACTGCGTTAGATGAAGAATAGATATTACGCTCGACATATAAGATGACACATCTTCTTTCTTCAATGTCCTTAATTGTGCTACGACCGAATGATACACCCGATTGGCAGTTTTCGTGGATAATTGACCAGCAAGTTGCACCGAATGTAAAATTTTGTTCTCGTCGGCAGACACAGGAGCTGTAAAATAAATTTCAATATAACTTATCAGTTTATCCAATATTTCAATGTAGTATGTAGTATGTTTTGCTAGACGATGGTTTGCCAGATATTTATTAATATCACATACCAGGCATGTTTTCTTCCCCTTCGACCGGAGGGAAATAACGATCCAATAAAGCGTTAATGAGAACGCCGATATCATCGATACTTTGCACTGCTTTATTACCATATTCGGTATTTAACAATTCATTAGCCTTCTTAATACTAATTTCTTTGAGAGTTGATGCTTGATGCGTCGCTGACTCTTTCGCAGCTTGCAATTTGTCAACTGTTGATTGCAGGGAGCTGTCCATTACAGCCTTTGCAGCATCGTAAATCTAGAGAATATAAATAAGAGATTATATAGAAAATATAGAGAATATAAATTGCATAAACTAAAAATAATATTATCTACTAGATACGACTTTAATATCCTCTATCCGCTACCATTTTCATTTCTTAAAATCTTGTACATAGTACGTTCCCCTATATCCGTGATATCTTATCACCTATTACAATTTCTATCGTATTTACCTGTTGAGGTGGCTGTTTCACGATCGGCATTTTTTCCTCGACCATGTTCAATCCCTCGCACAACTTTTGGTCAACGGCAGAGATCTGACCTTCGAATTTTTTCGCTAAAGGCACGGTAAGAGGGACGGCAGTGGCAGTTGCATAATGAAGTCCAGCTTCGGCATGATTTAACGCCCAGTTGATCAAATGATTCGAATCTTTCAAATAAGTGTACGTAGATTCAGTCTTCTCTATCGCCGAGTGAACAACAGGTATGTTTTTCACGCGATCAATTACTTCCAGGTGAGGCATACTGTTATTATTGTTTGCCATTTTTTCTGGAAAATCGAATGCAACGTTAGTAATTCATTTAATAAATTATCGCACGAACGCAACAAGAAAATATTGTGCAGGTACAGCGAAGGATACGAATAGAATTATTTCATAGTGCTCGCAGTGTACAATATTTGCCTTGGAAAGAAAAGATGACGGATTGCATCTTTATTTTATAATCTTATCATGCACTACGTTTCACCTGTTTTAAGAATAATATAAAAACTATGGAAGTCATTTGATAAAATGTTAAATTTAACGAGCAAAATTAACAAAATTAAGTGATGCTTAGTTTCAAATTAAAAACGTGTAAATTATGTGCGTACGATCGACGAATTAAGCGAAAGATGTAAAAATATACATATAAGTGCATCGCATAATATAAAACTACTTGACAATACTCAACTTTTCGAAAGATTATGTGCATAATTCATGATTCTTTCGCTGTAAAATAGAAGATCAAAATTGAATACAAAGTTCGATGTCTATGATGAGTATTAATTTTGAAACGAAGTTGACGTATCATACATTAACATATCATTATTAACGTATAATATACGATATGTTAATTGCTCTTGTCGTGTAAATTATTGCTCTTATATTGTAAATTCACTTTGAAGAAAGAGGACGGGAAATTTTATGGAATGATAGACAGTTCCAGAACAGAGCGAACAATACTTAAAGATGTAAATACTTGAAGTAGCTACATAGCGGAGTGTTTAAAAATGTACAGATTATCGATCATTATCGCGAAACATACAGCTTGCTATGTATTCGCGATAGATTACAAAATTTCAGTAATCGATAGCAATGTAAAACGGTTGACATCAATGTTATAATAATAATTAACAGCAAAAATATGAATCATAATATTAAATACGTAATACGATATAGAAGATTATAATCTTCGTTTCTTATTATCTTCTTTAAGGGCATATTTATATTTATTAGTCATTACTGTGATTACTATTTTTAAAACTGATTACTATTTTTAAAACTGAAGAATGTTTAATACAATATATATACAAAAAAAGATAAAGATGATTTTTATAATAGAAAAGATATTTTCTAAAAAATATTGATTCAGTAAACAGAAGAAGTAAATTTTACACATCAAAGAAAAAGAAATTTCATTGAAACAATAACTAATGTTGCGTGCTGCCTTCAATCTGTTTTACTTACAAAATTTTCTTTATATTGGTACTTAATAAAATCGTAAATATTGCAAACGTCTTCTAATATAGAAGTGTATCAAATATTAAGTAATTAACTATTAAACGTTGTGATACTTACTGATATTGTGTAATCTTTGATGCAACAGCGAGCAAAATGTAGTAACAGAAACGAACAGAACAGCCGATGGTATACTCGACAAATCCGGCAGCACTGACGATACATAAGAGTCAAAGAGCCTCCGATTGAAAATGATCACAAGTGGGGGAACATTCTTCAGGACCGTATGCAGTCACATATGCTCACTTTTATTCCGCTTCCGAAACGTTCTGAAAAAATATAAAATAAAGATGAAATCGCACTGACAATTTTTACGCTTGATAACAAAATAAATATTCAACGGTTTTATCCAATTTATCTTAATAATTATGACATAAAACGTTTGATATTCATTTATTTTACCAACAAATGACCGATAGTTTTCATTATTATTTTTATTACATTACCGTGTATATCGTATACTAAAATTATTATCATTTGATGTTTTACAAAATTTTTAAAATTCCCAACATTTTTTAGATATTAGGAATTATACATTGCTTGAGAAGCAATATTTTGTTAATTTTCTACGAATTACAATTTACAGACTAAAGTTGATTTTCGGTACAAAAATTGTTGTTTCTAATATGTAGAATATACAAATTTTTAAGAATGCTATTGCAACAGAAGTATCATTTTAGAGCTATTGGATTAATTTCAAGCAACAAAACTATGGCTAGTTGATATATTATTTAACAGACACGTCGATATATTTCTGTGGAGTAGAAACGGAGTAAATTGAAGGGAACTTCGACGCGTGTCTACTTCCGTGAACATGGTCGTGCTTCTGCGCAGCTGTACCACATGTCCATGTACAACATATGTGCCATCATCCATGACGTGGAGGTCATATCGTGGAATCGTGGTAGTAGAATACGTCGAATCCATTGATTTGCAATCATTTCGGCGAAACGTGATTCGTTCAACTTAGATTCTAGCTAATTAGTCAGACTTACAATTAGTTCTGTCTGAGAGACACGTCAACTTCAAAGAGGTTACTCGAGTTTATTTTAAATTCGTTTCTGTTTTCGTTCTTACTTTCGATTTCAATGAACGATGTATTATAAATACATTTGGAATAATTAAATATAAATTAGAAAAGATTTCGATTATTTCACGACTCGTATTTGCATTATCTAAGAATTTGAAATTATATAACTACGATTACTCTTTGATTAGAAGACGAAGACAAGAAGCGAAAAATATATATAAAATATATTAGTCAAAACAAAATTTTATTAGAGAAGATGAAAACACGTTTCTTGATAGACAGCTGATATAAAATTTTTAACAAAATATTCTATATAACAATAATAGTTGTTGTAATCTAGAAGACAGTAAAACGCTATCTTTTATAGTAATACAAAAATAACAATATTCTTAATGATATGATACGTAGAGAACTCTAACAATGAAATGTTCTTGAAAGAAAAAAAAAAAAGGGATTTGTATTATATTTTCCGCCGCTATAAACCTCTATAAACCTCAATCTTTTATATATAGTGCGTAATATTTATACATTTAAAAAAAGTGACGTTTAAGAAAAGTAAATGTATTACAAAAATGCACGCTGGAAATAAATAGGACAACAGTGGAATCGGTGGAAATTTTTCAGTCACCAACAATCGATAATCAATTTAATTTCTTCGCGTCCTCTGCGTTCGATGTGGCTTTCGAATTGGCCGCGTGATCTTGCACCTCGTTGTTTACGGCGTGACGGTTCGTCAATTGAAGAAACTGGACCAAAGATCTGATGTAAGATTTTAAATTGTCGGCGCTGACGGTGCCCAAGTGAAGAATTATGTTTGAATACAAGCGACGAGCAGCTTTATTAGATAAACGCCCGACTGTTTGTAAGGTGTGGAGCAGCTTATCTCCTTCGTTCGTGTTTATTTCTAAAATCAAACAAAAGTTATATCAATATTATGATAAAAATTATCTCGATACGATCAAATATATTTTTAATAATTTTATCGCGCATTCATAACATTTCGATCGGTGAAACAATTCTCTACGCAGATTATATTTCTTTTTTTTTTTTCAATTCACAGAAATATAATCTACGTGTTCGTAAAAGTATAAATTTGCACAAATACCCCATATATCTTCCATTAGTGGTAAATAATTAATTGCACATAAAATATCTCACCTACTGACTGCTCGTCACCTATCGCGGGAAAGTATCTATCGATCAGTTTATCAACAACGTCAGCTGTGCTGTCCAAACCTCTGACAGCTGCGCTACCATATTGCGTTTCTAAAATCTGATTCGCCTTGTTCCAGCTTAGGTCTCTCAAGCTTAAGGCCTGCGAGATAATTAATTCGTTAGCAAGTGAAATGCTCGTTACAGCCGGTTGAACAGTTTGCCGTGCCAGCGTGTAGGCGTTTTCCAAAATCTGGAACACAAAATGCACGCGATTGAAAAAAAAAAAAAAAAACATGCAACATTCAACGCAATTGCACGTAAGACGATTGAAAGAATCCTTGGAGATCGATAGAATCTGATCTCGAGGATGATGAAGGAAATTTTTCGTATTTGCGCGTTCAGAATTTGATGGAAACATGTATGCGTTCTTGGATCCCGATTGGAATTTTTATCCAATTAATATCCCGGAAAATGGGGATTGAATTCTAACCTGCTCGGGTTTCTCTTTAACCATCGGTACTTTTTCTTCGATTTTGTCGAGACCACGGCACAGCGTGTGGTCGACAAAGTGTATAGGGTTCTCGAATTTCTTAGCAATGGGTGCAGCAATAGGTACTGCCTGCCTCGTTGCGTTGCTTAAAGAAGTCTCTGCAGTGGTCAGCGCCCAGTGTATCAGTTGATTGCAGTCTTTCACACGGAAATACGTCGCCGTTGATTTGGATATCGCGCTCTCGACCATTGGGAGTTCCATCACACGATGGAACACTTCGATGTGAGGTAAATGCGCTACTTCGGCAGCCATTCTTCCACTATTTATCGAAATCTCTTCGATAGTTTGGAATTTGGACAATTTCTACAACAGTATAGACGTTTCTTTTATTCTCATCCCATTTTCACTCGAAGTCTGCGAATTTAATTTATTAAATAGAACGTTCTTTTCTCTGCATTGATTTTAAAAATTTATTTGATCAGGAATTTTCTAGCTTTAATGTATGATTATATTTTTGTTAGAAATGATAGATTTTTTTTAATGATATCTTTAGTAGGAGATTTATACTATATATACTATATATTTAATTAAATAGTAGTAGTTTATACTATTTGTACTATATATTTAATAGGAGATTTATATATATAAAATAAAATTAATTTCATTGTATTTATATAATTGTATCTATATTGTATATTATTGTATGTATATTGTATTTGTATAATTGTATATAATGTATTAAAGAGTACTGTGACAAAGCAAAATCAGTTGGACTAATCTGTAGCACGGAACTGTGATAAAAACACAGGAAAGAAATGTCTGGGGATAAGGTAAAGTTCAATGCGCTAGTACGTATATATATGTGCATTCGCCATATACACTACTAAGTGTAACACTTTCCAAACTTTCACTAGGATTTGCAATTATACGTCTCGTAACATTTGAAATTGAAAGCTGATACGTGACACCTCAAAACGAAACAACTTTCTTGTCCATCTATTATACTATAAAACGTGCAATGAAATTTCAAGCAATACGTTTATCTGTTTCGAGATAGATTATATTTTCACATAACTAAAATTTCAACTAAATTGTCATTTCTTTCGAAATATATATAAACACAACTCAGCCAATTTATTTTGCATTTACCAAACTATTTATTAATCGTTTGTTAAACAATTAGTCTATGCAGATCGTGATATAAATGTCTAAGAGTTATGAAATAAAAAATAATATGTAAAGAACTTTCGCAATTAAAGAAAGTATTTCGAAGATCTGGAATTTCCAAAGGAACTGTTCAAAATAAAATTGTACTTACATTTCTATTGTTATTTGCCGGTTTCTGTAGCGAACGTAGTGGGATCGGTCGTGAGCACAGCGTGAATAGAAATGTGCTTGGTTGAAGTAGATCCAACTCTTATAACTGGCTTACCGCCTGCGCGCTAAGGTTCTTTCATAGTAGCCAATGAAAATGAGCGAGGACGTCCAGAAGCGGCGATCAAACACATGCTACGAGGCTTCAAAGTCCGGTAAAACGACAATGTTTTTACGGTTATCACCATCACTGGGATTCGTTTTAAAACGGATGAAAATCCATAATCTATCTGTGATCGTTGCAACAACCGTCTGGGACTTTACACCCGATCTTTTTTTCGTAATTTTGTAGAGATTTTCATTTTATCGAATCGAAAGGATTGAGCTGAACGATCATTCACTTATTGCCGGTTACATGCAACCGTTACAGAATGCAATCATAGATTATTCATCACGTTACATGACTGAACAATTTTTTCGTCTGACGGTGATTCAATCGAACGATGATTTATAATTCTAAATCTTTGAAGGGAATAAATGTTTTCCATAAAATTCTGTCGGAGAAAAAAGTCACTCGCTATTGGGGTATTTTTGAGTTTAGAATATACGCTGAATATTAGGAGTTTTTTTTTTTTAGCTTGATCGAATTTAAGAATATAGATAACAAAAGGAGCCAGTCTTCTAAGTTACGTCTTCTAATATTGTGCACATTAGATGCATCTTATTTTAGAAAAGGATTAGAAAATTCTGTTCACTTTCTGAAGCTCGGATTTTTTAAATATGAACCAAATAACAGGTTCATACTAAAAAATTATTCCGTGTAATTTAGAATGGTAGTTTTACAAATCTAACAATTACATAGCTTGTTAGCAGTGAAAGTTGGGGAGAAACGTGGGGAAAGTACATTCACGATTCTGATTGTATAATTTTAATATTGTACGTCATTGTTCCTTGAAAAATAATTACTATCCCTGTTGTTCTTGACGATAATATAATTGCTATCTTAATTCTAACATTACAAGATAAATTTCTGTTCCTCCCATTTGCAGTATATTCTAAACAGATAGGTTAAATATTTTATGTACTTTATATATTTCATTATAAAATGTTTCACTAAAATGTAGCCAAATAAAGCAGAGGAAACTACTTCGAAAATTAGCAATCCAAGACTAAGATTTCTCCGCGTTCACTTTCAGTTTACTTCGAAGAATGTCCATCGAACTATTGGGAAACGAGTATCTTACTTACGAGTTGGTATGCAATTAAAAATTTCTCGATAAGTTTTTACAATGACACTGATCACATTTAGGCTCTATCAATAGATAAGTTTGTATTATTATAGAAAAATGAAAAATTTATATAAGATTTATAAAAAAAAAAAAAAAAACAGAAGGTGTAACTGCACTCTGTAAAAGGATTCATTGAAAATTCAAACGAGATATCAATTAATTTTAATCGTTTATTATATAGAATAACATGTGATAAACATAGAACGATATATAATAATTACAGTATTAAGTATTAAATTTAACAACTTAACCTCTTCTAGTTCTACTTACGTATATGTTATATTACCCCTCGATATGAATACATTATACCCATTTTATGTGTACTATTCCTTTGTATTTCATATATATAAAGACATAGAGATTCATTTTTATATGATTGAAATACTGTTGACAAATGAATTAACTGAGATTATCGTCGGTGTTTGCAAACTGAACGCAGATCTAAGAAATAAGAATTTAAATTATGTCCGCGAAATGAGTAATATTCTTCAAGAAAAACGCATTTATATACGTGCATGAAAATGTTGAAATATAACATTATCACAAAGTAAGAAAAAAAAAAATAACGAAACGCATAAAGATTCTATCATATGATTTAAAGCGTATCTAGTTAAAAAAAAAAATCGAAATTTTTAGTTCAATTATTCCCGATTGCGCGTGCGTGCGTTTTATCGACACTTTGACGAGAGAATTTTAATTTTAACGTGCTAGTTGTAAAATCTAGTTTCATTAATTTTATGATAACTAGGTTTTGATAACTAACGAAAGCGATAATTAGGTTATATTGATGCTTCAACAAAATTACTTATCTAAATTCGTAACTTATTTATTATAGTTGCATCGTGACAATTCTCTGCATAATTTAAAAATAGAGATTTATTTAGAAGCGGTATCGTTTGACGATGCAGAATGCAAGAAATATGCCAGAGAGAATAATTACGAATGCACGAACTGGTGCAAAGAAATCTGCATTGGATTAAACAGATACAATTTACGATGTAATTATATATGTTTAGTGCAATGATAGAGATAGCAAGCTTCTTAAAAATATATATAACGCACGAGAATCCACGAACAAATCCAATATTGACATCATAATGATTGTGTGAAATTACTATAACATTTGTTTTTACATTTTCTTACTCCTAAACATTAACGTTCGTATACTAAGGATAAAGAATAATTTGTACGACGACACGGATATGCTGTGTCCTCGATAAAAGAAGAATATTAATTAATTGCTCGTCTGAACGTGGGTGTAGAAATATTCAAACATTGAATTGCAGTCGATATTATTTATCTGTGAAATTTCAATGAGGAATTTCTCCTGATACACAGCTGTATATAAGATGGAACTCACGCAGGATAACTTTCAAGCATCGTTTTCTTACTCGATACCATTAACTGCGGCATTGGAAGACACCGACGTGTGGTTATTGTGGTTTTGCCGATGACTCTCCACGTTTGTTACTTTGGAAACAGTTGGACGACCAGCTAGAAAAGCTGCGAACTGCTCCTGTAATAGTAATTGCTTGTTAACAGTGACGCAAGCAAATGACAGTCAATGAAAATTGATAACAACCATAGTTCACATTGTTGGAGTGAATTTTTATCTTGTGTCAATAAGATCTTTATATTTGTCTATGTTAAAATATCTATTTAACTTCTGCATAACACGCGCGAAGATCACGAGAAAAGATCATGATAATACTTCATACACTTTTTAACAATTTTAAGATTTAATCGGTATGAGTCAGTGACATGAATTCCTTTTTCTTTTTTTTATTATTATTAGGGTTTGGGATTAAATATATGATTTTTTCAAAAGTAAAATAATAAATCGTTTGTCATAACATTGACTATACCGTCAAAGTGGTGGAAATCACGCACTTTGCCAGAGATTTGTGTTGTAAAATTCCTCTGTTAGTTTACTTGAATATCTCTGGTGGAAAATTTTGTGCTTTAATCGTCGTTGGTCTTGTGCGAAGGTTCATCGTATATATTTTTCTGGAAGACTGGATTCTAAATACGTTCTTTCAACTGTGGTATATCAGTGTACTCTCTCCTAGTCGCCAATTAGCACAAAGATCGACAACAGTTTATCATGTTTTCCCATGTGATCGTCACGTGCGATTCGTTGGCAACGAACGTGTTAAATTTCAAGTTCCAGTCTACGTACCAACAAACGATTTGTAATTGAGTTGAGCCTGTCTATGACCGTATATATCGCTGAGATTTGCTCTCTCCCCAGAATCTTCTTCCCAATAGCCGACATCATCTTAAATCGAAACAGACAGAATGAACGAATAGGTAATCGAAGAAAATTTTCCAGTAATTCGGAGTTAATGATATTTACTTCGAGGGTAGTATCGGCAACCACCGACAATTGACAAGCAACTGTAATGAGAAGTCTGGCAAGACTGTTAGGGGCTTTCGACGCTAACGCTGCTGCCCCATTCACCAGATGAACAATACGACGCGCGGATTCACGGGTCAGAAGAACCAACAACTGCTCCAGAGTGGTCGGCCTGGCTTGATTTTCTGGCTCGGGCAGGCTCAACGTTTTCCAAAGCTCTTTCGCCTTTTGAAACGCTAATTTCGGATCCGTTGCTAACTGTAACATGCAGGTTTTTATCACTTGCATAACAACAAGTTGAGAAAATGTCCAAGAGAATATTAGTCTAATTATAAATTACTTACTTCCTAGAGGTTTCCTCTTTGATTCTTTTGTTTTTTTACGTTTTAACTGTTTAATTATATATTTTTAATTATTTTTTAATTATATATTTTTAATTATTTTTTAATTATATATTTTTAATTATTTTTTAATTACATATTTTTAATTATTTTTTAATTATATATTTTTAATTATTTTTAAATTATTTTTTTAATTATATATATTAGTAATTATAAATTACTTACTTCCTAGAGGAATTACTTACTTCCTCTGTGATTCTTTTTTTTTTTTTTACGTTTTAATCTTTTTTTTAATTTTATATATATATTAGTCTAATTATAAATTACTTACTTCTTAGAGGTTTCTTTTTTGATTCTTTTTTTTTTACGTTTTAATTTTTTAGTTATATATTTTTAATTATATATATTAGTAATTATAAATTACTTACTTCCTAGAGGTTTCCTCTGTAATTCTTTTTTTTTATGTTTTAATCTCTTTTTTAATTTTTTAATTATATATATATATTAGTTATTAATTTTTTATGTATTAGTATTATTAATTTTTTAATTATATATATATATATATTAATCTAATTATAAATTACTTACTTCCTAGAGGTTTCCTCTTTGATTCTTTTTCTTTCTTTACGCTTTAATTTTTTTTTTTTTTAATTTTTTAATTATACCAATCAGATAGAAGTTAATGCTAGAACTTACCAGTTCTACGACATACAGAAGTATATGAATACACTCCGTCCCCTGGTCCTTCAAAGCTCGAGCTTCTGCCAACGTGCGACGCGTTAGTCGATGCTGTAATTTCTTTGAAAGTCTGGCGCCGCGTTTGATCGTTCGTTTAGTCTTACTTACCGGTTCGGAAGAAGAAACATCTGAAAAAAATAATTATCATCGACCACATGTTATCGTAACCAAGCTCGAACGACTGTTCCTTCGCTGAATAGCGAACACCCGACATTTCATTCATTTAAATACTAAAGTACGACACAGTGTAAGGAGAAGAGAAACAGAGGGAGGTACGCGAGAAAATTAATGACACAAAGGGAAATTAATTTGAAACGTGGTTTTAATTAACATCTTCGGGTTCGAAACGAATGATTTACCATCTACGCCATCGGTAACGTCAGCAGGCAAATAACGATCAACATAATTGTCCGCGACAGTCAGAGCACCGTCTAATCTGTCTGCCGCTGCGTTCGCAGCTTGGCTTCCGATCTCTTTCACACTTTCGGCACGTGTCAAAACGGGCCTCACGATTTTGACGTTTACGTACTCTCGCGCGTTCCGGTACATCTTAACAAATACAAAAAGAAACGTGATGATTTTTTATTCGTAAGGAACGATGATCGGTAAATAAGACTTAACTTAAATCGAAACACTTACAAGATGGGGTGGAAGATGCACGGCCGGTACTCTCTGCTCGACGATATCGATACCCTTGCAAAGCAACTGATCGATCGTCGTGATAGGACCGGAAATCGCATTCGCAATCGGTTTCGCCGACGCTGTGGCGATCGCAAGCGAGTTCTCAGCAGTGCACAGACTCCAATCCACCAGTGAATTCGATCGCTGAAATCAACAATATTGTATTCATTTGCTCCTTCTTTGTTCTTTCTCTTTCAAGCTTTTCAATTCGTAAGAAATGTCTTTCTCCGGTTCCACCAGGAACTGCAAAACTTCGCTTCAATTCCATTTCATCTGGTGATTTGACTTCCAACAAGAAAAATTTCATTGCATCTACGACTAATTTTTCTTGAATAATTTATTAATTAATGAATAATTGAGTAAATTAAAACTGGTGTGGTATTGAACACACGATCGAGCATATTCGTATAACATTGACTCGTTACTATTTATATTTTCTTCATTTATGTTATTTGAAACTTTTTGCTTATTTTATTTATGAATTGTAAACAGAAATAAATATATTCTTAATATCTTAGTATCTAAGAAATAATAAATCATATCAAGGGTTCGAATTAATTTGAATTTTCATTTAAGTTCAGGTAGATAATAAGAGAAGAATGTAGACAAATTTATTAAAAAGGACTTGCTATCTGTACAATAAAATTGTTTATGCTATATTCGACGGAATTGTTCGTATGTGCATACGAAAAAGTTCAACTGATCATTGCTAACGTGCAGCACTTTCACGACAGGCGGAACAAACAAGTGAAAGATGAGAGAAAGTGGCGAGATTCGTGAAACTGTTATTAAAACAGCTTTGCTTACCTTTATCCTAGCGTAGGCATTGCCGGTGATATTTATACTGTATTCTACAATAGGAAGATTGGAGATTCTGCTAACTGATTTGAAATGCGGCAAATCGAAGTGCCGTCTTTTCACGTTTGTTCCCATTTGCGTGATGGTTGCTGCAATTGAGTCGAAATTTTTGTTGTAGTTTCTAGCACAAAAATCACTAATACATGTTTCACATAATAATATTATTAATTACTAATACATATTTGTGATATATTTATAATTAATAATAATTACTAATACATGTTTTACTAATTAATAATAATTAGTAATACATGTTTTACTAATTAATAATAATTACATAATACATATTTTATTAATTAATAATAATTACTAATACATTATTAATTACTAATACATGTTTCAGATAATAATTTTCTATTTTTTTTCTTTCTTTTTCATAAATCTCTCTTGTTTTAACACAACTTCTCCACAAATCTATTTCATTATTGTCGATCTTCGTTCACTTTTATTAACATTCAGTTCTCTCACAATAAAAAAAAAAAGAAACAAATGCTGCTGATATTGCTTATTATACATGTAAGTTTAAAGAATAAAGATAAAACGACTATGTAACGTAATGCTTGAATTGTAAAAAATGAAATTAATAATTAAAAATGATGGAATTATGCCGTGGAATTTTAAAATACACTTTGGAGAATTTTAAAATACAAAGAGCGCTGGCAATGATAATCGGAGAGAAACCAATTGTAGGAATTGATAAGAGAGGTCATGTTATAATGTACCTCGTGGTTAATGTCGAGGCTACACTCTCTTCAAGCATTTCAGTTTCTTTACAGAGATCTGTTTTTAGATCCTATACTTCACCCTTTGGATGCTTAAAATCACCAAAAGTCCAGAAGCTTAGTACTAAATGTAAAGCACGCAACAAATTAAAAGTGTATTCATTATAAATATGTACATTTTGATAAATTCAATCGATGTATGTAATATATTATATTCTTTGAATCGTCATATAATAAATAAACCAATTATTTTATTATTAATTATAAAATTATCCGCAGAATACGCTCCGTGTTTAAAAGAAACAAACAACATAAATAATAATGTAAATCTACTTAATAACACGAATATAATCTTCTTCCTCGAAATTAAAAATTCCAATTTCATTTCGTGGATATGTGCAATGCAAGTTTGTTTTAGACTTGCGAACAGCAAGATTGTACGATAGGCTCACGTTAAACACAGGTCGATACCCCTGTTCTTATCGCTCTTATCAGAACGCGAACCTTCGTCGGCTAATTGTCCTAAACTGAGCGATATGTTGCATTTACGCGATACTCTTCATTTTAGGGTCATTGGATTCAATAAGAAGAAGAGAAATTACGACTTTGTTTCGACGACGATTGGAACAAATATTTTTAAAGGTATTACGAAGTAGGATATTGTTACAAATATCGTAATATTAAAATAATATACAATATAATATTGTATTATTATACAATTATTATTATTATATAATTAATATTGTATTACTATACAATTATTATTATATAATTAATATTGTATAATTAATATTGTATTATTATACAATTATTATTATATAATTAATATTATATTACTATACAATTATTATTATATAATTAATATTGTATTAATATATGTATTAATGTAATACAATATAATATAATATAATTGTATTAATATAATATAATATTGTATATGTATGTAATATAATATTACTGGAAAATATTCTTACAAGTAACAAATTTAATAAAATCCCATATTTATCTAAAATTATATCTGGCTAATGCCAACATTACTACACCATAATTTACTGCACCATAAATATAAAGATTAAGCACAGAGCTTGTTATATAATAGAAATTTGAGAAAGTTCAGCATTCGTACGAGAATTTGAGCCTCGTTAAACGACAAATTCCGTAAAATATCAGTATCTCGTGTTTTTTTTCGAGAAAATTTACGATAACACGCGACATGTAATTAATAATACATCTGACAATCTACGTTCGAAAAATCCACGGATGGGCTTAATCTTAACGACTATTCGATCGATAGTAACCAGATAGTTGATTCCTTACCTCAGGCTACGAAAATGAGCAAATGGACCCAATGGCAACGAACCTGATCACGATGAAATTATATAACGGAACTTGGCAGGATGCTAAGACAGATGGAATGACAGGGTCGGTCGTTTCGCGAAAGAACACGCCACTAACTGTAACGTCGGAGTCTGCGAAATGGTATCTCATCGGCTTGACCTATGACACGCCGATTATACAGTCACGGCAACCATCATGCTTTATGAATCAATCTTTTTCTCGAACGTTTGCTTTACACTTGTAATCCAATAATACTCGGACGAGACGTCCGTATCGAAGATCATAGAGAAATTACAGTCGATCGTGATTTCACGATCAGCCACGTTCAGGCAATAATATTTTATGGAAACTCCTCCAGGGTTCAATCTATCGGGAAGGCTGACCAATGCAGAGTTAACCCTGATGCTGTAAACAAGAAATTGATCTCGGAACAATCGAATTTTTATGCGTATCAATATACGATATACGATTTCAAATGAATACGAGAGTTTCGTTGTTTTAATTTAGAGTTTACATGTTTGGAAAGACTTGGAGGGAAATTAATTTCATCCAGATTAAAAAACAGAAGAGAAAGGCAAGATGCATGATTCGTTATTCTAAAAGAAATTATTATTGTGGGACACTGTGCGACATGAACGTTGCTTCAAATAATAAATTTTCATCGCGCGTACCATTTGCTACGAGTAAGTAACATTTGTTACGAGTCAGAAAAATTATCTAACAGAGTGGAATTTCTTAATTATTCTCGGAAACGTCCATAATCTGTAACATTTGAAATATGTTGAAATACGTAAATTGCATTATATTTAAAAATCCGTAACGCCGAACCCGAGCGATACGATAAAGAAGAAAGTAGCCACGACGTGGTAGTAGTAGCCGACGAACAGGAAATCTACTTGCAATAGCTGTAGAAAATTTATAGTGGAAAAGAAGACTACGTGGAAAACTTGAAATTATCGCCGACAGACGGTCTTAATTGCTATACAAAGTCCATCGCAACAAATGACCATTTGCTTGTATGGGATGGGGTATATTACATGGTAATCAGTTGAATACGTGTGAACAAAAATACTTCTTACTTTTCTTTTTTTTTTTCTAGTTGACACGTATTTCGAAGCGAGGTATCACGTATCGTATTTTTATTATTATTATTATTATTTTTTTTTTGTATTTAATACCACACTGAAACATAGTGAAAGTTACCTAACGAAAATTTAGATTTCGCATTTATGAAATTTAGCGGGAAGTTTAGTAATGATACTATGATTTAAAATTTTTGAAAATTACAAAATTATGTTTGGTACTTTTGAAATTCCATTTGGAAAACCTTTATCGCTTTTCAGCGGGAATAGACGCGAGTTCGCGGTGTTTAAAGTCTAAAAAGATAATTCTTTCAAATCTCAGTTGAGCTTTTTTTTTTTATCTGACAGAAATATTTCTCTATTAGACTAAAGATCAAATCGTGATCTTAATGTGTAAAAAGACTGTACGTCTGATAAGCTACGTCTAATATTTATTGGAAACTATTTCGAGGATCTACGTTTCAAAAATTCCTCGAATAATTTGGATCTGATGGTCAATTTATGTTTAGGATGAATTTTTCGAAGATTCAGAAACTATCTGTTTTTAAAGATATCGTGTCTACCAGTTCAAGAAAGCAAATTTTATTTTGTGTTCGTTGACAGATGATGTTAGTGGTACGTAGAATACTAATAGGATAATAAATTAAGTGGGTGGGTTCTTAGTTCATCAATCCCAATTTAATGACATAGATAACAAACAATAAGGAGGGAAATGAATTATTAAGCACATTAATGCAACAATTGCATCACATGGTAAATAGTCATTAGATTCACGTACATTTTTTTCTTTTTTTTTTTTTTTTTCATCTACATCACCAATTCATTTCATATAATTTGAACAGCGATTAAAATTAAACAAAGTTTTATTTTAAAATATAATCGGTGATTAATTTATCAATTTCTATCAAAGAATTTTGATATCTTTCATCAAAATTAAAGATATCGAAGTGAAAATGGAAATATGGAAGAATTTATCAAATTCAGTAACATTGCTGTAAACTCTGAAAGTGATACTAGAAAAATTCAATCAAGTGTAGAATATGCGGCAAAGTGCAATAAAATGAACGATATCTATATTTAGTTGAAATTATCGCCACTCTCCGTGTGATTCAATAATTGTTTAAAAGGATAGTTGCCGGGTACATTATCAACGATTCATTTTTTTCTCTCTTTTATCCATCACTATTACAAGACACTTTCGCAATAAAACAAACAGCTTTCTCGCTGCCCGCTTCTTTTATTGCTTTGTTAACATGAAACAGAAAGATACAGGCAATTGGAATTTTCTGTCGAAACGCGTAGCAGTGTAACATCTTTTCAACATTAATATAATAAATGAGATATTAATATTATAAGAATATAGACAATCATAAATATGAAAAATATAAGTAAGGAAAAATAATTGACAAGTATAAAAATATTATAAAAATGAAACATAGTTGAACTTCGTTTATGCGAATCAGTGAATATTGAGCTTCAGATATGCGAACTCTTAATTGATCAACTTCTGTTATCCTTATCTTTTATAGCAAATAAGAGCAAATAAGAGTAGAATATGGAGAAAGCTTCTATTATCCGAACTCGTTGATTATCTCCAATGTCTTCGGATAAACGGAGTTCTACTGTAAAATTATTTTACTTGTATATAAAATTATTGTTCTTGTATATAAAAAAATGCATCAATTAACCTAACAACAAGAGGATATCAAATTACGTGTATTATAGATGTCGACGAGTGTTATTGATTATTAAATTATTTCAATGAAGTGCAGCTTTCCACAGAACTGAGTTGAAAACCATAAAACTCATTCTAAAAGTTTCTTTTTTCTTCCTGTGTGTAAGAAGGGATTTTCCCCGTTTATTTGAACAAATTAAGTTAAATTAAATAATTAAATGTTGCAGAATTGTATATTTATTGTAGAATTAAATATTGTGAAACTAACAATACAGTGTAGGATTAACAATGACAGAATGAAAAATGTAACTGTTGGTTTTCAGTATGTACTGTGTCAGACGCGCGCCAACAGTCAACCTTGCTGCAACTTAATTATCATAAGATTCAAAGTATTCGAAGTATATAACGTTTAAAAATGTATTTTTTAAAGATTAGTCAGTAAGAATATTACAAACCTTGTAATATCTGTTAATTTAGATTTTAATGTAAATGTAAATTAAATTGGACTTGATTTGGTTATAAAACGTCCCTTGAACTCTACATATTACACGCAAAAGAGTTTATAAATCAATTTGTTGTAATGTAAATTGTACGTACATATGTACATCCAGTGATTGCATTAATTACATCCAGCACGCCCAATGAGACGCGCGTTTAGTAATTATTAGTAATCAATTGATTAAATAAAAATTCACGTCCATAACTGTTTGAAATATGTTATGGACGTGAATATGTTGTTCACGCTTTTAACTATATTTACAAATAATTTTCATTACAAATTTCAAACGCAGTACACGAAAAAACAAATGTTCGAAAATTTCAATATTTGGGGAAGCGCTTCGATCTATTGGGCCGAATTTGCAAAATCCTTATACAAACACGCTTTAAAAATCGATTTACATATAGGAAGAAATCTGAGGGCCTAATTATAATTATACAACCGCTAAAGTCCAAAAATTAACTCTCTTAATTAGTTTTTTAAGCAAATGGAAATTTGGTCCATTTATGGGCCCTAAAATGCTAGCGCCGCGTAGCGGTGAAACGGTGGAACTGTTCACTATTTCTGTCCTTGCGTACACGACTTATTTCTTTCTCTATCACGTATCATGTACCTCTATCATCTTTCATTAATGTAGTGATTATGATAATTTATATTTATATCACAATACTACAAATAAATAATAACTCCGATTGATCTAAATACTTCAAAGTAGAGGTCGCTACATTAACAAGCCATGTACTGCCATCTATCGGTTCTATTCGAAACTCCAATAAAACAAGCCATGTGCTGGAAATTAAATAGATGGCAGCATATTTAATTTTCACAAATTGATCAAATGTTCATTTAGAAAAAAGACTATTTAGGGGGATTAATTTATAAAATGTACCTGTAAAGATCTTACAAATTGGACTCCATAGATCGAAGTATTTTTTTGAAATAATAATTTAATTTCTTGAAAATTTAAATCAAACACTCAGATCAGTCAAGATGAGACAGAGAAATATTGTATTGAAGTTTGTCTATATTTAATTATGGATAATATATTTTCGGTCTTTTAATTTTAATTGCGAAAGAGCCTTCGTCATTGGATTAGCAATATGCACGTCCAATCTAGTATGATAATTCAACATTTCCAAACCCAAATTATACAATTGATTTTATTTAAAATATCACGATACACGATAAATTTACAAACCTAAATTTCACTTAATTTTCTGCAGTGTAATATTTTCAAATTACTTGATAATTCCTTTTTTAATAAATATTTTCCGAAATTTCTTTGAATATTAATTATATTGTGCTTGATCCTCTTAAATAAGCAATATGCATGCACATCTAATCCAATGTTTTCCAAAATTCAAATTATTTGAAATATTATAATGTGCAATAGAATCGACCAATTGTAAATTTAATTTTCCACAATATTCTCAAATTATACGACAAATTTTTCTCCTATTTTTTTTTAATAAATATTCCAATGTACAATAATATATATTATTATATATTAATAAGAAATTATATATTAATAATATATTATAATGTACAATAGAATCGACCAGTTATACAAAATTGTAAATTTAATTTTCTCAAATTACATTCTCAAATTACACGACAAATTTTTCTCCCCCTTTTTTTTTTTTAAATAAATATTCTCTGAAATCTCTGCTTTAATTACGCCGTGCCTGATCTGCGATAGATAGAATCCGCGCGTGCAAACAGAGGGCGGACAGAGAATTAATACAATTAACCGGGCAAGTTAGTATAAAGCAATTGTGCTTTCGTAAGACTTGAAAAGGTCGGATTAATAGACACTCGTTTCGATGATTAGTGGAATAAAGGGTACCACTAGATTCAACTAACACTAACTAGCAATGTCAAGCGGAAAATTGCCGGCATTCATCTTGAGAAATCGTTCGCGCGATATTTCAATGAACAGGATCGGTTTTCTCGCCGAGAAATACACAGCGATCGGCCACGATTTGGTAAACTCGACTAAATTGTCCCTGACTTTAAAACAGAAACTTACATCACATTCGCTGCGTATCGTCTTTTGTAAGCGTAATTCGCTAACGTAACAGCGCGTGTTAAAACTGCGCAGACCTATTGCTCGGACGATGTTACGTTGGATGAAACTAATGGGAGACGTAACAGTGGAAACTGTCAAACAAAGGATAACGAGTGATTTCGGACATTTCGTTTCTTGTTGATGAAATAAAAATAGAAACTTGAAGATTCGTGCTAGCACGATTAACATTCACTGTGTTTGCAAATTTTGTTAACTTTTTTCTTCCTCAGATACTCAAAGACAGGTTGTAATATATTATAACGTTTAATTTTTGCAAAATGTTGTATCTAGGCTGCGGATCATTATGCATTTGTTGGAAGTACGCCAATTTACTTGAGAAAAATTTATAAAATACACGTATTGTATAAAGATATATAGAATACTCCAAGTATAGTATTTGTTAAAAATTTGAATTCTATCTTTCAGTATTATGTGTCATATTTATGCAGTTTTTGCATTGTGGAAAATATTTTTCAGTCAATGAAATTTATATTATTTCAATTGTTTCAAAAAAAATTTGACAACAGATCAATACGTCAACAAGTTCGTGAAAATCAACGAAATTCGTGAAATTTACATTATTTTAACTGCTCTGAAAAGATAACAAAAGTCAATGTGTTAACACTGGAACTAAGCTCGTAAAAATCAGTGGTGTCGGATTCTTTGCCTCTGCGATAACCAAGTATTAATGTCTCTTTTTATCGAGACATTTCGTCACGTCTCTTAAAAGGATAATTCGCTAACGTAACAGCGTGTTAAAGCTGCGCAGAACTATCGCCCGAGTAATATACGTCAAATGAAACTGATTGGAAAATTCAAGATTTCCAAGAAGAATTAGCGGTACCAGATTTTTCGTTTCTGCGGTTTTCTAACTCTGTAATTCTATTGTTATAGTTGTTTCAAATTTAAAAAACCCGAGGACACGGTACTTTATTTATTTCGAACAGATAGAAAATTCTCGTCGAATATTTTAACATTGACGAATTTTAAATAAAACGAGCGTCAATTTTTATCTCAAATAAAATTTACTTCAGTTCGGTGTGACTTAGAATATTTTAGAATTCTTTTTTCTTTTCTTTTCTTTTTTTTTTTTTTTATCTGGAAAGAATAATTATTACGAAAACTTTGATTTATCGCTTGTTGACTTTGAGTTCGAAATATTCAGAGTATGGGCATTGTTCTTTTATACACGCTACATTCGTGTTTGGTTTTCCGGATTGATTGCGAGTTGAGCAATCCAGAAAATTCCAGAAATGAAAATGCGACGTGCGTTCGATTTTTTTTTTTTACGGTCGATCACTTTTAATTGGAATTTTATTTAATTTAACATTTTGTCAAGTTTAAAAGTCAGCAATTATTGTACATATATTATATATAATCAACATCTTTATTATGTTATATTATGCATAATATTAATTATATAATATAATTAATATTTTTATCATATATTTGACTATACATTCACTATATATTGAATATATTTAGCAAGACTGCCTTTATCCCTGGTTATATGTATGTATATTTAAGACGACAATTCTCGTCGTATCAAACACTTACTATTTTCAGCACGATAGTGACTCAAAGTAACGACACAGCACTTGAACGTAGTTAAAGAGTGAACGTTTCATAAAATGTCCTGTATGTCACATCTATATCCTCGTAAAGTCCACGTGTTCGTACAAAAATGCAGAGCCATAAAATTCATAGGGAATTTTAAGTTAAATTTCAATGCCATTCGTCTTATCGAATAATGTACGCATTGCACTGTAAATTTAGACTGAATATATAAATTTCATTGAATTTCCAGTAAAATTCTGGTGAAAAGAATTATATACTATGTGCTTTATTTATACATATAAAAGTGCTAAAAAGAGACTGAAGTAGAATTGCCCAGTTAAGGACGGACATATTCTACTGTGGAATCTACTCTTAGCTCTAGGCTGCGAAAACCGAAATGTCGTTTCAGACGATTATAATTAAATACAAAGACTAGTACTACAATATTATATAAAGTTTTGTATAAAATTAACTTAAATATTAAATTATTAAAAATTATATAAAATTAAATTAAATATTAAATTATTAAATATTACATAAAATTAAATTAAACATTAAATTATTAAATATTATATAAAATTAAATTAAACATTAAATTATTAAATATTATACAAAATTAAATTATACATTAAATTATTAAATATTATACAAAATTATTTAAACTACAGTATTATATAAAATTCCAGCATTACAGAGAGAATAATATTTGACAATTGTATCTTGTGTGCTATCTTCAAACGTGAACGAAATAAATCACAGTTGTATAAAAGACACGAGTAAATAAATAAAATTCTCCTTGACATTTGACAACTTTCTCTAAAGAGTCACAAAAAAAATAAAAAAAGACTAAAGAAAAAAGAAAGAAAGAAATACACGAATTAAGATTAACTGCGTCTGAAGTGAATTGTCTTCGGCGTCGAAAAATTTCGTCGGCCGTCTGGATGGAAATCTCCGTGTGTTCCGTGGGGCCAAATGGCGGCAGATCAATTCAGAGATCAGAGACCAGAAAGGTAGTTGGCTAGATCCTCGTCACGTGTGGAACGTGACTGTCTGCTGACGTTGTCACCGAACACGTGACCACGAATCCAGTCGCATACGTATCTATTTAATAAACACGAAACGAAAACCGAGTGCACTGTCTCGTGTCCCCCCTCCCTCCCATCCTTCCTCTTCTCTCTCCCCCGTATATCGATCCACGCGAATAGTGTCAATAAGGAGATCCATCAGATCCATTTACACGCGTTTATGCAGGACATGCCTTGTTGTAAGGTGTCTAATATTAGCCTCAATCAGAGCCAATCAAGGAGAAAATAGCGCGACACGGAGTATACGCGCTATTATTTATCGTACGTAACGTACACGTGACGCGATTCTTCGCCAATATATAAAGGTATCTTGATCTTGAACGGGATTATATTCCGAGCGGGCATCCTCCAGAGCGCGGGCCACAGCCACCGACCGAGCCGCGCTCGAAAGAAACGATCTTACGTTTCTCGCAAAAAAAAAAAAAAAAGAAAGAAAGAAAGAAAAAGAAAGAAAAAAAAGGTACGCCAACGTTTTCTGTTCATATATCTCCGTCGTATCTGATAGCATTGACGTTAATTATCCTCGCGGGTACGTTTATCGTAAAAAACCGACGCAACACGAGCGCGTGAAGACTCTCGAGTATATAAAACACTGGGAGAAGGAAACCTCGAGCGTAGTCGGGACTGTCCAGGTACTCGAGAGACACACGTTTGGTAAGTCCGAGGTAGAGATAGCATCGAAGGTGCTTAAAGAACTAGAGAATATCGACGAAGTTAGAGAATCGAGAATATCGAGACTGAAAGAGATCTAGAGGCAAGTTGCCAAACAGCCAGCTGTTTCCAAAGCTTTGAAGAAAGAGCGGTTCGAGAAATAGAGAGATTTCTTCAGAGAGATATATTTGAATATATAGCGAAGAGACGGTGACGCGAACAAAAAAATGCGCAACCCAGGCACGGAGCAGATACTCAAGGACGAGGAATGCTTCGAGATAATACGCAAGAAGCTGACGAAAGACTCGATGGAGGATTTCTCGTTGATAACGTACGAGGTGATCCCCATAGACGAGGTGAACGGTTTCATGGGCCAGTACTTCACTCTGAAAGCCACCGTTGCCTCGCCGCGGTCGCCGCTCGAGACGAAGAACATTAATTTCTTCACGAAGGTGCCGCCGCCGATGTCCAGCCCCCAGTACGACTTCATTCAACAGTACGGCAGCTTCAAGAAGGAGGTCGCCCTGTACACGACAGTGTTCCCAGAAGTGTTGGTCGATGGTCTGGACAAGAGGTACGTGCCGGAATGCTTCCTCGGCCTGGAGGACGACGTGATCGTCCTGGAGGACATGGCCCACAGCGGCTACGAGATGACGGACAAGTTCAAGCCGTTCGATTTCGAGCACTGCAAGATACTGATGAAGACGTTGGCGAGGTTCCACGCCAAGTCTTTGATCTTCGAGGAGCTGTACCAGAAGAGCTTGCACGACGAGTTCTCTCACTGTATGCAGGAGACGCTTTGGCCGTTGAAGGGCGGCCGGGCGAAGGCGATGTTCGACGCGGCTGTGAAAGGCATCGTCTCGTTGATAGGCCTGATGCCGAGCTTGAACGAGACGCAGAGAAAGGCGTTCAGCGCGAAGGTCACCGAACTGTGCGTCGATCATGCGAACAAATTGCTACCATCGATGAAACACAAGAACGTGCTGTGCCACGGTGACCTCTGGGCGAACAACATCTTGTTCAAATATGACAACGATGGGAAACCTCTGGAGTGCTGTCTCATCGACTTTCAACTTGCCAGGTAATTGGTAATGAGATCATTTGCGGAAAGAAACTGATCACGAACGTTGATGATCAATTGAAACGAGTGGTAGATTGTTCCAATACTCATTTCCAACACATATATATATAATACATCGTATTGTGTTTATTACGATATATGTTGTATTTTATACGTTAAAAATATTACAAATATTATTAACTCAATATTAACTTATATATATAAAAAAAATATTAACTTATTATTGATAAATTGCAAAATGAATTTCACTTTTAATACATATAATATAATATATATTGTAGTTTTCATATATGATATAATCTCTCATATCGCCGACTACAATAATATCTTTGACGACATCCTCTACAAAGTTCAAGAAACAAATGACGAAGATTATTTGCAGGGATCTACTAAATTCCAAGATGAATTTGCCAAAAATAATGCTCGTAATCTGCTCTTCTATACTTTTTGTTTCCATCTTCCCTCTTTTAATTGAATCAAATTAAGATAAATATACTACAATTAAATTAACTTAAGATAAATTAAACTAAATTAGATTCTACAGATTATTAAATTATTATTAAGTTTAAGGAATTAAGGGAAGAAACGAATGTGAATTATCAATTTTAATTCTAAATCTAATTAATCTCGTTCTATACTAAGAATTTAACAAATATAAATAGTAATATTACTAATATAATATGTTATTTATATTATTATTATTATTATATATTGATATTATCAACATATGTTATTTATATTATTATTATTATTATATATTGATATTATTAACATATATTATTTATATTATTATTATTATACTATATTGGTATTATCAATATATGTTATTTATATTATTATTATTATAATATATTGATATTATCAATATATATTATTTATTATTATTATTATTATTATTATTATTATATATTATATATTATTAAATTAATTGAATCGTTGTTGCAGATACAATCCACCGGCCCACGACATCCTGTGCTTCCTCCAATTCACAACGACGCGCGAATTACGCGAGAAACACGGCGACGAGCTGTTCAGAATCTACCACGACTCGATGACGAGGGCACTGGAGGAAGCTGGCATGGACATCACCACCGTGTTTCCTTGGAGCGACTTCGCCGCATCGATCGACGACTTGCGGGTCATGTGCATTACTCACGGTGTCTTAAACATACCGATCATGTTACTGGAGCCGAGTGCTGCCAGCAAGTACTTCTCGGACGAGCCGGAACTATTGGAGAACGTTTTGTACGTGGACAGGACGCCGTTGGTCTGCAAGCAGGTGGAGGACGTGCCGCGATACAAAGAGAGAATGATGGACGCGTTGCTGGAGTTATACGATCACGTGGCTGGTTAATGGAACCCAGGCCGGATCGGATCGAATCGATAAAAAAAGACACCGGATATTAGAGCATTTTCACCGTAGAGCACATCAGAGACACAACACGCACCAACCAATTTTTGTCGCTAACTTGGAAAGTAAGCGGCGGGCATAGCTCTGAAGAATTGGTAATATCAACCGATTTCACGCGACTCATTTGTATAGTGAACTACACGGCACGGCACCACGCACGGCGTGGTTCACCTGAACTCATCTTCTAGAGTTGGCACTAATCCAATATAGAGAATCGCTTGGTCCATTAACGCAAATTGACGACACGTGTCATCACACTGATCGATAGACGCAATTCACTCTTGGAGGGGGAGAGATTTCGTCGATACACGAGATATTCTATCGCTCCGGAAGCTTTACTTTACTTTTGTTTTAGTTAATTCAATTCGCTTGATTTACTTTGCTTGTAGCTAACGCTAGCAACAACAGAATAGCAAGAACAGAATCGAACGAGGGAAGAATCTGTCTAGTTGTATTTACTTTGTTTCGTTTTATTAAATGATGATTAACGTATTAGAGTATTATTTTGTTTATTAGATAGGTTTGGAAATGGCGATCGCGTAATTGTTGAAAACCATTCGGTGAACTGATCATGTCGATGATCAAACTGGTCAGAGGAAGACCAACCAAGTGTTTAAGGAAGAAATTCAGTTCAAGGTTGATAATCACTATTATCAGTATGGATGATTATTGTAAATATATATCGACACCGAATAACGTACGCTGTTACCAAACTTTGAATATTATTCGGTGTATTTAATAATAATAATAATAATAATAATAATAATATTTGAGTATACTAAACGAATTCTCAAAATCGATGGACGTAAAGAAACACCAGAGGCTTACTTTTATGTATATAATTATTTATATCATCAATTATAATGAATATATAGTTATGTACAATATTGAATCTCATTCTTTAACAATAACATCAACAACATGATTAAACAACGTTCCTCATTGGTACACAAATTGTAAATGTACAGATAAAAAAGCATTAGATGAGGTCAATGAGGCATCGAAGGTGGCGTACGCTCAGCGCGCCTTAATTTCTCTTCTTTTTTTTTCTCTCTTTTTCTTTTTCTCTTTATACATTTTGTAATTCCCACATATATGTATATTTCGAATCATTTTGTTTCGATAGTTTTGTTCGATTTGTTTCTCGTGCTTTTCCTTTTTTTGCTCATTTTTTGTAGGTTCTTTTTTAACGTTTAATTATATATATACACACACATATATATATACATATACATATATACATATATACATATATACATATGTATATATATATGTATATATATATATATATATATATACTTCGTTTAGATACACACGTCTCACATACACACAAATGCGCCACGTGTATCCGTGCGACGCACGAAAATACGATTACGGGTGATGATATCGATTGAATCGGTGCATGATTTAATTATTAAAGAGAGTGCATGAACAATTTGCGTCTCGCGAGCAGCCAGGCACAAGTTTTCCATCTTTGTATAGAGCGAGTCGAACAACGATGTAAAAGTAACGTAAATCAATCGTTTTACACGTCGAGAAAGTAACAGATCTATCGTCTCTAGTACGTTCCGTGCGTAAGAATCTCGAACAGAAATCATCGACAGTCGTGATTTGACGAGAAAATAAAAACTAAAAGAAAAAGGAAGAGAGGAGAGAGGATAGAGGGGGTAGGGGGGGGGGGTGGTGGTGAAGGAATATCAAAATCGAAGGACGTTTCACTCTTTCGTCTAAAGTATAAATTCTTCTCTTCTGCCTGGTTAAACCCGCGCGACGCAAATCTCGACCAATCATCTAAAACTCTACACAAGGCTCCGACAAATTTTCATTTTTTTTTCTGTTTTTTTTTAATCACTTAACGAACGATTTCCACAAAATCTAAACGCGCAAAACTTTTTTTGTTTCGGTATATAATCGCATCAAGGCGAGGCAGGGTCCTCCGAGAGTCCTCCATCTTGATTTAACGCGATTCTACAAGCCGCTAACAATTCTCAAACAATTAATATTGAAAAATTGACTGGCGTTGAACAGACATTTCCTCGAGAAACAAGAGCCGTTCGAATCACGAATTGTTGTTGTTCTTCCCTTTCTCTTCTTCGTTTTTCTTTTTTCTTTTTTTTTCTTTTTGGTTTACTCTTATCAAGTGCGTGTCTCGTTTCTCAAAAAAAAAAAAAAAGAAACAGCTCCTCGAGGAATTGAATTTTCTGAAATCAAATAGATAATTCTAGACTGTCTTTCGTTAATTAAAGGATTCCTTTGTCAGGAATTTTGTCAGGAAAGGACTCTGTCAGAGCTTTCGTTATTAAAGGATTCCTCGAAGAAAAGAAAAGAAAAGATGCAAAATACAGTCCATTCGGATAACAAGCAAACGAATCTTTAAGTTCGTAATTCCTCAAATAAAAACGCGGTTTCCCTTTCGCTCTCCCGTGACTGTTTACCCTCTCGACTCGCTTTCAGCATTTCCTCTGAAATATCCATCTTATTTTTCACACTTACGATACACACTCGTTTACGTTTACTACTTCTTAATTCTGTCATTGCTCGTGGCTAACAAAATAACGTCCCCTAAGTAACTAAGTATCCAAAATAAAGTCCCCTCTCAATGGGAAAAAGTAACTACAATAATAATAATAATAATAATAATAATAATAATAATAATAAAAAATAAAACAAAATTTTCAAATTTTTTCACCAAGCCAACGAACAAACTGTATAACATAAAAATCACATGCCGAAAGCTGAAAGCGTGTCAGGGAACAGTCGCTCGCCCCCTGTCATCATAGTAATCGACGCTACCATTCGCAATCGACAGAAAGAACGCATTTGATTTCACATTGATAAAACATACAAATCGATCGGCGGTTTTTCGTCGCAGCGATCTACACCAAACAGTGTCTGTGACAGAGAAAGACGAAAAAAAAAGAAAAAAAAAAATTGAAAAGAGACTTTGGAAATCAGGAGCAACGAATTACACTTATTGCGGCTGATGCTGCACATCGTTTAGTATTCTACTATCTTTTTTTTTTTTCTTTTTTTTTTTTCTTTTTTACATCGATCAAGCTGTCCGATTCGCACGCCTCACCGGCCCCTCTCGCCTTAATCGAGCCATATATAGAAAGTTATATACAACGATATAACACGAACTGCAGTGGCAGTGAATAGTGCATATGGATATTGCAAACAGTAGCAATGGCGGTGGCGGCGGCGACTCGTAATCGCGATACACGGCAGCGTCTACCACAGCTACTTTGTGTTTTCTCTCTTGTCCCCGATAATAATCGATCCGCTTCGTCCCATTTGCACATATCTTTCTTCTTCTTCTTCTTCTTCTTCTTCTTCTTCTTCTTCTTCTTCCTCTTCTTCTTCTTTTTTTCGTTTTTCAAATCGACGAATTACTTTTAGTCTGATTTCTTTTTTCATTTGAACGATTTTCGAGCTCACGTAACCTGATGTTTTCTTGTTCTTTTTAATTTCTCTTCTTCTCTTTTTCAACGTATTTTTACATCGTGTATTTGGTCGGATCACGCGATACCTTCATCCTTTGTTTTTGCACTCGTCGTACTTCCGCACGCGCGAATCGTTTCCCCTGGTTCCCTAATTTTTTTTTTTTCCTTTTTCCTCTTTCCATTCCCCTTTGTTGCTCTTCTTTCTTCCAGCGCGATGCATCCGTTTCTTTTTTTTTTTTTTTTCATCGATGCGATTATCGTTCCCTCTCCCACCGTGAATTCCTCTCGTTCGTGTGTGCACTACGCGCGCGCAAGTGAGACAGAAAGAAAGGATGCGCGCGTATCCGCGCGTGTACGTTTTGTGTTTGTGAATTCATGCCAGTTTGTTTTCTCTTCTTTCGCTTGCATGATCGTGTTGCCATATACATGCACTCGTACGTATCGTATGTGTATCATTACGTGTGCGTGTTTCAGTCATGGTTAGTGACAGAAAAAAGGGAGGGGCGGAGCGGGGGAAAGAGCAAGGAAGAAGTATTTGTGTATAGGTGTATCTGTGTATTTCCTTTTTTTTTTTTTTTTTTTTTTTTTTGCTTCTTTACATACATACATATATATACATATACATGCATACAGACATATATACATACATACATACGTGTATACGTATATGGATGTATGTACACATATGTACGTTCGTATGTACACACTCGTGTAGTTTCACAAAAATATATAAAAGAGAGTGTCTATGTATACATATATATGTGCATATATATCTATAATGTATATATAGTCGTATCGATACATAGTCGATTAATACTCAAGTTGTGTGGAAAAAGGGTGTTTTTTTTTTCTTCTTCTTCTTCTTCTTCTTCTTTTTATCGTTAAGTTATTATATATTCACACATATACATACATGCATACATATATACATACGCACGTACATACGTGCATACGTATATACAGTGCATACACACGTATAAACGCGGAGTTAGAAGGAAATCTCGCGGGATAGGCAGACGGGGCCAGGGAAATATTGTTCTCCATCGCTCTTCGTTCTTACTTTCAGGCAATACGCGTGCTTATTTTTTATGATTGTATTAGGTCCATCCGAAATAATCCGATCGGGCCCGCGTTTCCTTCCAAGGGGACTTTTTTTCCAGCTCCGCGCGCGGTACATACATACATATAATACACACATGCACACATACATGCATCCACGCAAGCATACACGTTTATGTATAGAATCTGTACAAAGTGCTTGATTGAGATTTTTTTTTTGTTTTTTTTTTTTGTTTTTTTCTTTTTGTTTCTTTTTTATCATTAGCCGCAAAAGAAGACACTCAAGGTAAAGTTTACACGTAATCCTGCACTCCTGTCTCGCACGTAATCTCTTGTCGTAAAGATGCACGTTATCGGTTGCAAACTGCTCGATCTAAAACTAAGCGTACAAGATGATCGGTTGCATCCACGACAGACCGTAGCTCTCTTTCTTTGTCGAGGGTGAAACGAAAACAAGAGAGTAACACACCCATGATACACACGACGTTGTTCAATTTCGATTTTTTTTCGTGAAATTCATTCCGTGACGCGTATGTACAACTGTTTTCGTTGAGTGTCGCAAGTGTAAAATATAGGGCTTCGTATATTAATCGTTCTCACCTCGCGTGACACAAAAAATCAACATCTCACGGATCCGTTTCAGCGAATTACTCGATTAATTTGTATGATTGCAACATGATGCTGTGTTCCAGTCGCACGGTACAAAGGAAATCACAAAGGAGTCACGTTATAAAATAATGAAATCGTATAGTTTTATCCTTAGTCGTTACCCTTTCATTTTCTAGTAAAGTAAAAGTTACGATCTGTTCTAGCTGCAGTTACCACCCTGTACATACGCATATACAGATACATGTACATATATGTATACATATTTCCATTTTGCTGGCAAGGCAAGATACAAAATCACGATACAGGAGAGACGAACACACGACTGTCTTGCAAAGTGAACAATGCATTTTACATGAGAGGAACCAAAACGGCCCTGTCAGTGCAGTTATATCTCAATCAATTGTTTCATATCTTCTATATCTTCCTCTTTCCTCCTCGTTCCGCTCTTTCTTTCTTTGTTTCTTTGTTTCTTGTTTTTTTTCAAAGTTCGAATGACAACATATTCACCTGTTCTGCACTTATTTACATATCATGTGAATGAGCTACAGCGATGGTATACGTTAAGTCGCGAAGGCGATTACAATTCCTCAGCGATCAGCCTTGAAGATGTTCTCAAGCGTTTATAGTTTAAGCTGTTTCTGCTTCGCATTTGTTTTTTGTGTTTTCTTCTTTTCTTCTTTTTGTTTCAAGTATAACTCCTCACCTCATCTTCTTTTTTCTTTTTTTTCTTTTTTCTCTTTTTTTTTTTTGTTTATTCTTCTTTGCTGGTTTTCTTCTGTGTTCTGCTGAAAGCAAACAGGGCGTGGGATTACAGTCGCACACCCCAGTGTTACGCTTCAGAATAAGCCCACCGGTTCAGTCCATATGCGGCCTTCAACATCGAAGGCGATCTAATATCTCATGTCTTTCGAAGATTTAGAAAGCTTAACGTGTAGCTACCCTCGGACCGTGTCTCATCACACCGTGTCCCGGTATCCCTTACCCGTTTCTCTCTTCATTTCTCCCGTTTCCCATTCGCAGATCTTTGCTCTCTCGTCTCTTGTTCTTCCTTCAAATCTTCTTTCTCCAGCTGTCGCCAACTTTGACGTTGTTCCATCTTTTCTACTCGACGCACAACCAAGCCTCAACGTAGAAATGTCTTCTTTTTTTTTTTTTCCTCTTTCTTTTTCGGTCACGATGCGAAAATAAATCACGATTTAGCGATAAACAGCAAGGAACAGAGAAATGCTGTGGGCACTATCAGAGGGAAACCGAATTCCAGCTATACCGAGTATCGACGAAATATATATATATATATACACATATACACACACACACATATATATACATATATATATCACTGACGACACGTCCAACCAGCGGAAAAAACGGACGTGTTGATGATACGTTCTTTATGGACGGGGTCCTGCGATTAATTTCGTTGAGGGCATCGTATCGTAATGCCAGCTAATGAAGAAGACTACAAGTCGACACAGTAGGGACGACGGGCGGCATGATGCGAATTTTCCTTTGCGAGTTTATATGTAGGAATAAGGTCCGTCGGTGAGGGCGCTACACAGCAACAGTCAGGAGGCGTCGTCCTTCCCTCGAGCTCCTCTGCTCGGCTTGTACTCCAGACCCGGATCGAATTGCATCAGCACGAAAACCTGTGGATCGTTCAATAAAAGCGATAACTTTATCACAGTGAACTTCCAATTTTTTTTTTTAAGCAAATTTCAACATGCTCGTTGGCAATTGGACAGAATAATTTAGTCGAGCACGGGTTTAGAGAGAGGTGTCACATACCTGATCTGTAGGCAATAACGTAAAATCGTCCGGAGGATTTGTAATGACGTATCGTTTAGATGAAGCATCGCACGACGAGCTGGTATCCCGAAACCTAAAATTCAGTCGTAAGTATCAGTCAGTCGTTGCGAAAGCACGTCGTCTCGTTTCTCGAGAACCTTGTGTACTCGTCTAAGGCTAAATACTTGTAAAACACACGATTATGTACGATCAGAGAATCAAAACTAAAACCTAGAACTAAAAACTAAAAACTAAACTAAACGCTGGCACAACAGTAACTAAACACTAAACAAACAAGTGATACAAAGAGACAATCATAAAAAATGATGGGTATTTGTTGGATGAAGGCAACTTACGATCGTTGTTTCTTTCTCTTTTTTTTTTTCTGATGTTACTGTTTCTTTTTTCTTTTTTTCTCTCTTTTTTTTTTTTGGTTCATGACGCAAAAACGCAAAATGCAAAAATATGCGGCAAAAAATCAAAAGTCATATAGTAAGTACAAGAATGATATAGTAAGAGAATAATCAATGGCAGTATAATCGCAGCAGCAAGGTGAAAGACTTTCAGAGAAAAAGATATATATATATATATATATGTATATATATATGTGTATATATATGTATATATATTTATATTTATATTTATATATGCGTAGAGAATATTCTGTGTAAAGTAATCCAATAAATACCATCGAGAGAAGGAAAAAAGTCCGGTACCTGTACCTGTACAGACCAATGCACAGCATTCCATACGACTTTAATGCTGCGACAAAGAGGTCACCGTACTTGCCTCCTTCGCCATACTGAGCCAGTGGCCCGTCGTATAACGCGATTTGACCTACTCGGCATCGATCTCTATTGGCCAGACTATCAGGCGTACTGCAATGAAATAGAACAAGTAAATAAGTAAATAAGCAAGTTGTTAAAATAACGATCATCGCGACAACGCGAGATTTACCTGTAACCCCCTCGTAAGCCTGCCCCTTCGGCGAGAATTAATTCTAATTCAGGCGTTGCTCCACCAGTGATTAGAGATCGAATTAAAGTCAGCGCATTTTGATTGAAATACGTCTGTAACGATATGAAAATTTGGCAAACGTTAGTGATCGATCGTGCGACGTTAAATATTCCAATGCGTGTCGAGGGAACTTTACAAAATTTAACACATTGTTGACCGGCCAACTCGTATTAATTTTTGACGCTCAGGGTAATACACGAGTATTGTGAAATCTTTCATCGTCGTGTTCACTTTAAAATTACTTTTTACTGATATTTAAGTTTTCATCGCCCATTCTGGGTGTTATAAACATTTCACGAAGAAGAATTTTTCAATGAATTATGTGCAGACGCTTTATCCGATTGTCCGAGTGATTTTGAAATACATTGTAGCGATGTGAAAATTCATAGTTTTATCAAAGATTACGAATGACAAATTTGCAAGACCTGTTGTGTACCATTACACGTAGGTGATTGCTATACAATTGATCACACCCCCCAAAAAAATTACTGAAATATATTACATGTATAAAATATAATATATATATATATATAAGAGATATATATTTTAATAAATATTTTATACACGTATAAAATATTTTTATTATATATATTATTATATATATATTATATTATAAAAATATTTTATATATAAGAGATATATATTTTAATAAATATTTTATACACGTATAAAATATAATATATATATAAGAGATATGCAAATTTAAATTCATTCTGCATAAATAAAATTTATTTTGATCGTTTCATTTTCACACACAATTACGAAATAATAATCGATAGCATGAGATAACTTCTGCGTAAAATCAACAATGTGTTAATGTTCATATGACGTCAATTTGCCAATTGTCGCAACAGTAACGTCATTAATTGCAATACGAAGCATGAACATTGCGATCGTAGAACTTTACTGACCGTCGACATTAATGAATCTAATACGCTGACGGCAAAGGCAGTACCGCAAGCAAACGGTTGGGTAAGGTACAGTTCTGTGTCCGGATCATCGTCGTCGTCCTGGTCAAGGAACTGCACGTTGCTATCGTTCACGAGTTCTGTTAATAAAAACACACGTGAATGGCGTGCTTAACTTCCTCTTCAACGATGAATAAATCAGTCAGAAAAGCAACAAGAAAAACACAGATACTTATAAAGAACGTGACATTTATAACTTTGTAATTAAAATTCAATGTGTAAAAAAAAAGGAAAAGAAAAAAAATGATAAATACCTGTTATCATTGGCACGTTCGCTCCATAAACGGATCCCCGTCGTTGCAAAACGATTGGGCTACCAACTGCGGTCAAATTACCTTGCTCATTATTTGCTGGAATTGTCACTCAATGTTTAATGAAACGTACACGACAGATTGTTGTGAACGCTCGTTAACAACTCAGAAGTGAAATTAAAAAGCGAGCTTCATTATGGGTAGGAGACAGTACGAACCTTGGCTGAGCACTCCAATGGTGTCGTCGAATGTCATAGCTTTGATATTAAGGGACGCGAGGATGGCTTCCTTGTCGGCGAGGGTGGGGTCATCGTTGCTAGGCACTTTAGCCGACAGGATACAACACATGTCGCACAGATTCACGTTAACGGCACGCAGATCTGCTCTGCTTAATGGTGAACCCTGTGAGAATACGCGCAGTTACGTGTGCATGTGAAACTAGTGACACAATTTGTGTTCAACAAACGAACGAATTGAATCAACTTGACTGTAGAAGCCACACACTAAAAGGAACCATTGGTTAATTAGTAGATATCAACCCTCTGTGACGGTGTGTAATTTTTAATTCACATATTAATATACATAATGTGCGACGAAAGCGTCTTTGTAATCTTTATTGCTATTATTTCTCGGTGTGGCTATTTTAGAATGAAATTTTTAAAAATTATAAATCCATTGTTACACTTTGCGTTGGAAGGTTGATATTTGCTTTGGTCAAAATCTTTTTATACTTGCAGAAAGAATTTTAGTTACAGAAATTATAATTATCCTTGTCCCGTAAGAACAATTACATTGTATGGTACAGTGAAGAGTATAACTGTATCAATGACTGAAAAATTATCGATAATTAAAACTGATATAACTTGATAAAAAGGAGATCATGCAGTGATCAAGATCAGTTGATACCAAAAAAAAATCATACAAGATTTAAAGTATCTAAAGATATCTCAATCTTCAAAATGATAGTGAATCTAGTTGCAAAGAAAAATTTTTAATGTTTTCACACAGGTTTGAATTTCGATAATATTTTTCAGGAAGAAAAGTATCTTTACTTTTCCATTCACTTGCGCGATACAAAATCACCTTCGGAAAGAACGAACTCGCGACTGTTAAAGTAGAAAGAAAGATTCGCACTTTGAAATGAAACTAAGTAGGTCGTCGTACGATCTTCCTTTACAAAATTATGTCAACTTTTCACTGCTACCGTTACAATACGTAATGCACAAAATCGCGACAGTTACACATTGTATACAGGGTGAGTAACGAATCAAATAACTCACAAAATATTTGTTGTGTAGAAAAATGTTTCAGATAGAAGTTGCATGGCTTCCAGCGGGACATGTAGTATTGTAATCACTTTTATGTTATTTTGCTTTTTTATCAAGGTATGAAGGTCACCTTCAATATTTTAAATGGAATAGTTAATATTTCTTCAAGAATTTGGATAAAATGTTCTACATAAAAAAGTTTTATGTTATTTAGTTAATATTTAATAGTTAATATAATAGTTAATATAATAGTTAATATAATAGTTAATATAATAGTAAATATTAGGAATAGTTAATATACGGAATAGTTAATATAATAGTAAATATTAAGAATAGTTAATATAATAGTTAATATTAGGAATAGTTAATATAATAGTTAATAGTTAATATTTCTTCCCGAATTCGGATAAAGCGTTGAATTCTACATAAAAAAGTATTACGCGAAATAGGGTCTAAAATACATAGTTACTGAGATTAACATTCTTTTCTAATACAATATAAAAAGATATTTTTGCTAATACCTCAGTAACTATGTATTTTAGACCCTATTTGGTATAATACCTTTTTATGTAGAATTCAATACTTTATCCGAATCCAGGAAGAAATATTAACTTATTCCTAATATTAACTATTATATTATCTATTAACTATTATATTAACTATTAACTATTATATTAATTATTATATTAACTATTAACTATTATATTAATTATTATGTTAACTGTTAAATATTAACTAAATAATTATTAAATATTAACTAAATATTAAATTTCAACTAAATGCTAAATAACAAAAATTTTTTACGTAGAATTCAACGCTTCATCCAAATTCGGGAATATAAATATTTTAATATTCCATTTAAAGAATTGAAGATGGCCTTCGCGTCTTGATAAAAAAGCAAAATAACATAAAACTGATGACAATACTGTATGTCCCCCATGGAAGCCGTGCAACTTCTATCTAAACCATGTTTTTCGCGCAACAAATATTTTACAAGTTATTTGAAGTCGTCAAGTTACGAGAGACTCACCCCGCAGTCTAACAAATGCAAGACTTTGCAAATTCAATGCAATGATGGTCGCAAGGCGCGAGTGATGAGACTTTCTTACGTTTAACACCGATATCTTCGGCAGATTCTGCAACATCTTCCACTCGCGGCGGATGTAATCCACAGACCCAACTATTACTACGTGTTTAAGCTCGTGGTAATGAAAATTGGAAGCTCGTAATGGCATGACAAGGTTTCTCAGTCCGATGAGGGGCGAGTCGGGATCGGCGAACAGGCAGACGACGACGTGCCCGTTCAGAACCGTCATCGCCGCCTGATTACGATCCAATATGCAGTCTTCGAGGTTGCGGGATGGACTCCAGTGGAACATTCCCGTCGAGTCGTACTTCATTTCGGTCTTCTCGAAGTCGAAGTCCTTCGCCTGGTCGTCGGCTATTCCGACTTGAAGACCACCGTTGTTATTCACGTTCGTGCCGCCCGAGGCTCTGCTCGTCGGCCTAGAAACAACAATTCCCACATGTTTACCACGCTCGTCGAGCTGAACTACTTCTCGTTTATTATGTGAGTTACTTGGTTACGTAAACAGTATCAAATAAAATATACTAGTGAAATATACTAGATTTTTGTAGAAAACACGCGCAAAAAAAAAAAAAGAGGGCAACAGACGCACGTAATGTACATTATGTATATCTCTCGTGGCTAGCTCTTGGTGTTTTCTTCAGCTGTAAATGTAAATTTTAGCTTCTTAGCCACTGGCTCTAGTGCTACCCCGAGCTGTTTAAAAAAAGCTATTAAGTCCTGAAATGCGCAAGCGAATGGATACTAGGTAGAAAAAACTATCAACTCAGGTAAGTAAGCGATTGGTAGTTACAACTAATTGTAAAAGCCTAGACTTTTTCTATTTGCTCTGTCATTTCTTTCTGTCCTCCTCCAATCACTTTCGTCACTGTTGTGTTTCCTGATCGGTTAAGCCCATTAACTGCCAAGTTTTGTCTTTTCTTTCCTCAGAGAAAGAGAGAGAGAGAGAGAGAGTAATACTCAATTGTAGATCATGGTGGTTAATGGGTGTCTATATATATATATTTTCTTTTTTTTTTTTTAAACGAGAGTCCCATCTCGTACTGCAAAAATCCACTTACTGTTGGATGATCATGCGTAACGGAATGTCAATGGTAGAAACATTAATCACTCAGTTAACATCTCAGCTGAAGGGAAAAGTTAGGTGTACTTTTCAGAACGATCTGTGTAAACTTGTGAAATACGAGCTACGTTAATCACAACTTCTATAAACATTGTCTCTACGAATAATTAGTAACATTAAGAGATAAAGAGAGAGAGAGAGAGAGAGAGAAAGAGAACTCGCGATTGAACATCGTTGGATCGATGAAACTCTAAAAATTAGTACATCAAACGTCTCGGTTTCTTTTTTTGGAAACTAACATCTTCAAAACGCTCCGAAAGAGAGAAGTTTCGTTTCGCTGCGCGCGAATAAATGTAGCGCAAGTATAATCATGCAGATCGAGTTACGAAAGCTAAAGTAAATGTCTAGCTTCATGCCGATTGTTATACACGTATATATATTGTTACAATGAGAAGAGAGTGAAACAAAAGAACAACAAGCAAAAATACCAACCGAAAGCTCTGTGATAAAGAAAAAGAAGCTTTGAGGCGAGAAGAAGTTTCCTGTAAAGAGAAATGGTTAGCCTCGCCCGCGCGAGACTGAAAGCTATCATCCGCGAGAAGAGGAGAAATGATCGAGAGATGCATTGAAAACGCAGGCAATTCGCATGCAGTTGGGCAAAGCAGATTTCTCTACAACTGCAAATGTATGTAAGTAATACAACCAAACGTGTAGTGTAGAAGAGACAGAGAGAGAGAGAGAGAGAGAGAGAGAACAGCGGCTCAACGTGACAGTTAACGTAACAAAAGAAGCGTACATGAGCTTTTTGACTTCGTAGGCGAGATGGTAGCCAGGGTATGCGGACTCCTCTTGCGATCTGGAATCAGAAGGTATTTGTAACGTTGGACTCGTCGTCGGATTCGTAGAATCGCTCTTTTCTTTTCGTACTCGCCATCGAGTGAACGTTTAAAAATCATCGTGGTGTGATGACGAGGAGAGAGATAACGATGGGAGAGTTAACTCAGTTCACGATTAATGGCAAACGACATGTTAATGATATCTCGGATGATCGAACGGCTATTGAACTCTCTTGAAACTCGTGACGTTGCTCGTGACAAATGGCAAAAAAAGGAAAAAAAGAACGAGACGATACGATCGTGGGTTTGGAAGTAGCTTGAAATTTACTCGTGTCTCGATCGAATGAACGTAAAAAAAAGAAAAAGAAGAGAAAATGGACGTAACGGCGGTCTGTTCGAAACAACGTGGAGGGGGGAGGAGGGTCGAGTAATAAAAAATAAACTAAGCTATAAGATAAACTCGTCGTCCTCGTTCTAAACAACGATCAAAAGGACACAATCAAGTTTTAGTGCAAACAAGCGGATCTTCATCGTTCCATAGGAATTCCTCACGTTTCAGCTTGTCACATGTACAAAATCATAAAAGCACAGACAGCGGTCCTACCGTAAAACAGGTAAAAGCTGATCTTTGGACGTTGTGTGTGGGGAAAAGGGAGAATTGAATGTTTCACTGGGGTTTCTGCTACCAATCTATTAACATGCGATATGTATATATATATATATATATATATAAACATAAATAAAATAATGGGAGGAAATAAATGGCGAACTGAAAGAAAAAAAAAAAAAGAACTTATACCTGCATTTCTGTCTCTAAGCTAAATAACTTTCTGTCAATCTTAATAATCTTCATATCCTCTTTTCTTTAAGGGGTCAGGAGAGTTTGAAATTTTCAAAAAATCGATTTTTTTTTTTTTTGTTTTTTGTTTTAAATAGTAGTTTGAAGTCTTAGAAATAAGATATAAAAGGTCCTGGCCTTTCACACGACTTATTTTAGGGGATAATAATAATCCGCGGATACAGAATCATTGAATTTGTATCACTGTTTACGACTCTAAGCAGTATTATAAAGTGTAAATCGTGTGATTCGAATATCACTTTTAGTGAATCAAATATTAGGGGGCTTGGATTCAATTTAGTCGTGAATTGTAAGAACTGCGAGCAGCGATATATAAGTAAAAAAAGTAAGTAAAGGATACATGTGAAAAATGACGTTCTGAAACTTTAAACCTAAGCGTTTTTCTCGAAACTAGGTTTTTAGAAACGTTGTGCAAGATATCTAGGAATCTAACCAACCGATTACTGTGAAACGTGGTACGTATTTTTGGTGTAACACTTACTGGGGATTGACGATCGAGCATTTTTTAATTTTTAACAATTTCCAAGAATATAAACAAAAAACGTAGAAATTTTTGGCATAAATTCGACACATCGACAAACAAATAGCTGCTGTTTTCATAATTTTCACAAAAATGAAAATGTTGAATATTTTTGAACTTTTCTTGCTTGTTTGTTGCAACTAAACCTGTTTGGCTGGAATCATGCACACCGATGGGCAATGTAAAAAAAAGTTATGTAAAATTATTACCGTCAAAAAGTTAAACAAGAGCCCTCTTTTTTTCTCTTTTAATGTTTCTCTTTACAATTCATAATGCATTGAAATAAACCACAAAAGCTCATGTCAATCAAATATGTACCTTTTTTTTTTTTACTAGCCCTCCAAATTATTCGTAATTTTTAGGCCCGTCAAACTGTCCTGCCCCCTTAAATAAATTCACATTGCGCAGAAAAAAAAAATATACATATATATATATATAAGTTTGCTACCAAGAAAAAGCTTTGCTAAAAAAAAACGGCACTAGATTGCCCTTTCTCCTTTTTTTTTCTTTTTTCTTTTTCTTTCTTTCCTCCTTTCGTTATTACAAGTGATCGAAAAGTCTATCGTCTATCTCTACTGTAAAGATTATGTACCTCTTACTTCTGCACGTCATAGTTTCGTTACGATACATCGACCCAATATACAGCTATAGTTCGCCGTCACGAACTTTCGCGCACTTGCTAGAACATTCGAAGGGGTGAGGAGGAAGAACAGGGAAATCCCTACATTTAATAATTTCGCGTAATTCCGTAATACACTGGACACGGCGCGAATCAGAATTCGATGGGAACGTGGCACTCCGAGTCAAATTAAACAATGAACGGGAATCGATCGCACCAGCGATGCGTGTAAACCTGTTGAGAACGTTACTTGAAGAACTCATGAGGATGATTCTGGATCGCATGGAAGTTCTCTACCGAGAATATACAGTGACAGTGGAGTAATAATTCTCTCGTCGTTCGTATCCGGCGTAAGTTTGGAAAAAACATGCTAATTAAAAAAGAAAACGGATGCAGATATACAAAGTGTTTCGTAACTTGTGGTACCCACTTCGGGAGTTGGCTATACGCCTAAAAATAATGAAAAGAAAAGTCATATAAATATATGTCCTATCTGTCTTCGTTCATGAGATATAATGAATTTTATAAACAGAGCAAACTCTAGTAAGCTAGTTATTCAATTTTCATAATAATCATAATTGGGATGAAGAAAACCCACACGTTATTGTGCATTCAAGACGTCAACACCAGTTTAGTTTAAACGTNAAACACCAGGAATGATAGAGAGAGTAACCAGATGAATGACAAGACGCGTGCAGGCTTGTCTTCAAATGCAACGTGGTCATTGCGAGCATCTTTTGTAAAAGTAATCAAAACAGAAAATTCATTATATCTCATAATACGAAGACAGATACGACATATATTTATATGACTTTTTTTCATTATTTTTAGGCGTACAAGTTACGAAACACCCTGAGTGGGTCACCACGTATTGCCATCTAGATTTACGTCATTATTATTACGCGGAAAATGTTTCCCGATGAAGTTGAATGGTTTCGAGAGGATGATGCTAGTTTTCTTGCAGGTGGACGTGTAGAGGACGTGTGAAGGTTATTAGCATTTTTTTTTTTTCTTTAATGGAATCATACGTTTTTTTATTGCATCAGTTGATGCACCTTGATATTCTCATTACAAAAAAGTATTAACCTGTTTATGTTAAAAAGTCACTAGTTTAGGAGATATTTTAATTTTAATGCTGTTAGGAAATAAGGTGTACGCTGAGCCTTCGACTATAATTGTCGATATGAGAGATCGTGTCATCAGTGAGCGTAATAAAATAACACCAGATACATTACACAATGCGAGCGAATTTATTAATCTATCGATTCAGAAAATGTCGTTACGTAAATGGTCGTCACACTGAATCTTTTCTGTAAATAAAATCATTACCAAAGGTTAACAGCAATTAAACAATATTAACAAAGGAGTCATAATCTCCTAACAACATTAAAATTAAAATATCTCCTAAACTAATGATTTTTTTATCGTAAAAATAAGTTAATACTTTTTTGTGAAGAATAGCAACTGATGCATTAAAAAACATATGATTCCATTTAAAAAAACGTTAATGATCTTCTACACGTCCACCTGTGAGGAAACTAGTATCATCAAAACCTGCCCTGAAACATTTTTCTCTACGTTTTAATAACAATGACGTAAATCTAGATGGCAATACGTGATGACCCACCCTGTATGTATATATCGTTGAAAGAGTATACTGTGTCAGACAGCGTAGTGCACTCTGTAGAGATAGATTGCTTCGTTTCGAGGATTCATTTGACAGAATAGAGTAGAAGATGTTTCTTACATTTTGCGATAGATAAATATCGTTTCGAGTAAATTGCTTCGACGTTCACATTAGGTTATTCAAACGAATTCATCGTGATCGTGATCGTGGAGAAAAATCGTCCTGCTGCCTGTTGAAAATTTCACTCGAATCGCGATTCAGCGCGCGCGATTTTGTACATTTTGCTTGAATAACCCATTGTTGGTAAAACGTTCAGTGTACGCAGAAGCTCGAGTCGTTCTACTCGTGCAAATATAGTAGAAGAGAAACAGTATATCAACCTTATAAGTTCGTACAACAAGTGAGAGTGCGTAGTTGCAGACAAGGAAAAAAAAAAAAAAAATTCACCACGAGCTGATGTACAATATAATTATGCGTGTGACGTACGAAAATGTTGAACTACGCGCTTTTGTGCAATGAAAATTCATCAGAATCACTCGAGTGCACGAAAATCACTTTGAAACGTGAGATAAATCACGCTGGATAATTTTGCGGTGAAACAAAACAAAAAAAAGAAAAAAAAAGTTGAAAAATAAAGTTTCAGCATCGTGAATCTTGTTTCTATTTTTCCTTTTTTTTTTTTTTTTCAATTGACACGTAGTTAATTCTCAGTAGTGAAATTCACACGCGGTTTATTACAATGCGTGATGGAATACAATTCATGGCAAGTGATCAGAAAAAAATAAAAGAACGCGAACAATGAAGAGCGAATGCAAGGACGATGCACGCCCTACACGTCGTATGGATTAAAGGAGGAAAAGATCAGATCCAAAGTAAAAAACGAAATACCTCTGATTGTACGGTTGATTTGGACTGGATAAACTGTCGTTTGTCGCTCGATTCACATTCGGTTTCACCTTATTCACCTGCTTTGTTGAATTCATCATGGTCATCCCGACGGAATTCCGGTGATTTCTCATCGCTGCAAGACGAATGATTCAATAACATATATGTATATGTATTTATATATGTATATACAGTGTGTACATAAACATTGTATTTGATAATCTATTGCTCAGCATTAAAGATACAACCAAGTAACCACATATATAGCAAAGAGTAAAATTTGTTATACCAAAAGAAAAAAAAAAAACAAATTCACCAGGTGCACTTGCATCTCACTAACTCTGAAACTCTGCACAAGAAAGCAAAGTTTTCCTTCTCGTTTAAGGGCTGGTTTTCAAGAAATCAAAGCTTGAATATGTTCAGTTTGGAAACTGGCTCGATAAACCAGTGTACTTGATGAAACTTTAAATTAAGTTTAGAAGCGAAGAACACAATCTCGCAAGAAAAAATTGTACTCTACTTAATGTTAACTGATTCCCACGGGTGGAATAATTTTTTCCATTCTTTTGCTTATTCCTGACTAGCCTGGAATGAACGAAAATGTACTCGAAAGTACAGTTGATAAACTTTCAAGCTTAGATTCTCTTGAAAACTGAAGAAGAAATTTATTTACGTATCATCCCTCCCTCATTGAAGGTCGTATTTTTAATACTGAGACAGCCCGTGCACACCGTTAATCGTTATTATTAAACACAGTGTTACATTTGCAACGTATAAATGTAGATATTTGTTAATATTTACCGTTTGGGTCGTCTCGGTCGCGACTGATCTCACCTAAAATTCGTAAATTGGAATTAACCTCCGTGTCAAGATGTATTTCTCTTTTCTTTTTTTTTTTTTTTTTTTTTTTCAACGTAGCTAATAGACAAAGCAACAATGATTAAGACAAATTACTCGAATTAAGACAAAGACTGCCACGCTGATCGTGACTAACTAACTTCCGGTTTTTTTTCGTTAGAGCTTGGCATTTTACTTTTTATCGGCAAGAGCCTACTGAGCCTCATGCTTACAGGCGCGCATACTTTGCCCGAAGTATAGATTTTGCACGTGCCGTTTTTCAAACATCGATCAACTGGAACTGCGAACGGGTTGGTGAAACCATTTATGTTCGTTTTCACGGATACGTCAAACGAACTGTTACACTGGAAATAGAACGACTTTCGTTCCGATATAAAACTTTCTGCTAACTCCAATATAAAATATTATATTATATTAAATAATATTATATTATATTATATTAAATACGTGTAAAAGTTGCACGATAGTAAAGTTTGAAAACAATAAAGAAACTTTGATGTTTTCAGTTTTCTCCAAAAATTACGAAAATTATTTTTTTCTAATTTAATTATAAATATTTTCATAATATTATAATTAATACTATTATATAAATATTATATAGATAATTAATACTATTACATAAATATTATATAGATAATTAATACTATTACATAAATACTTTTCTTTTCCTTGATAATTAGACTTTTTTAAATCCCCCCCCAAAAAAAACAGAACGATCACAATAATATTGTTTCAATTTTCCTCTGAATTGAAAATGACAGCCGAGAAAATTTGACGTATCGGTGAAAACCAATCGCAATCGTTCGCGAAAACCCAAGCAATTCCTAGCCATCGGTGGCACGCGTTCTCTGCACAAGTCAAGAGAAACAAAGAAACAAAACAAAAAAAAAAAAAAAAAAAAAAAAAAAAAAAAAAAAAAAAAAAAAAACAAAAAAAAAAAAAAAAAAAAAAAAAAAAAAAAANGTTCCTCTCCTTCAACGTTCAGCAGACGGAAAGGGAGACGGAACGAGAGAGCAGAAAGAAAAAAAAAAAAAAAAAAAAAAAAAAAAAAAAAAAAAATGAAAATAATTAGGCATCTGTCGCGTGAATCGAGTGAAGCACCACCTACATATTCGTTCAACGAACGTAAGAAACGAAAACTAAATTAAAGGAAACTGTGCTTTGTCTAAACGTTACCACACAAAAGGAAAGAAAAGAAAAGAAAAGAAAAGAAAAGAAAAAGGCCAACAGATAAAAGTTTATATACTGTGTCTGTCAAATCTACCGTGCGTTTCTACAGCTATTCAATTGAATCATCTTACACTCGATAAGTAAAGTATTGCACAAATAAAAACGCACAAGTACGTAAACTGACAATTATAACTATGTAATATACTGAGAGAGCATTATGCGAGTCACACATATCAAAGAAGAAATATATAAATATAATATCGAAAAAAGTATATATTATCTAAGCATCCTAGACCAATATATATAATAATATAATAATCTACACAAAACACAGAAAAAAATTCATCGTAAATATATCGGAATATCACTCAAAAAATGGTCTGAATTCCAAACAGCATTTCTCAAACTATCCCAGGAATTAATTTTGTTTCTCTACGTCTGTACAAATTTCGCTACGTTCCTCGCGCAAATTTTCATCTTTATCGCAAACACATCTGCAGCAATGTGTCTCGTTATATACCAAGGTTGTCTAAAGAGTGAGAAACGCTGATATCTTTAAAATCCTGCTTCACTACTTACGCAGACGAACACCAGCGAATGTTTTGCATATATATTGTATAAATATAAATGGAAAGGTGTGTTTTTTGTCGCGGAGTAAGGTTGATCAAGCTTTCCAATTCAAACTCTATTTCCTGCGCCGTTACATTGATCATTGGTCGTCAAAATTTTCGATCATCTGCCAATGATATTTTTTTTTTTCTTTTTTTTATTCTTGCTCCTTTCAAATTGAAAATAATAGTTACTCTGCACAAGTAAATTTAGAGTGACTCGCGTTGAGCAAAATTGCACTCGACAATAACCGATTGCACGTGAAAAACTATCATACGGCAACTATAATTCGTTCTAACAGTGGAGAACTTCAAATAAATTAATCATTGTGTTTTGTCTATAAAATGAATCGACAGTCGCTTCGAAACTAGAATAATCAGCAAAGAAAAAAAAATAAAAAAAAAAAATTAAAAAAAAATGAAAACACAAGTGAAAAACGAAAACGTAAATACGATGCTAATGCAGAGTCTAAGTGACTAATGAAACACTATGGGATGGATCGTACCGTTTCTCTAACAGATCCTTGCAGACAGTGAAGAACGAAAGAAAGAGGAACAAACGGAAAACAGAGGGAAATGAAAATCACGTGTGCGCGTGTGCCGTTCTAAAGTGAGAGCTACGAGAAAGAAAAACTCAAAGAAGGAAGAAAAAACTCTGCGCTACGCTCTTAGGGGGGTGATGAATAAGAAACTGGTGATAACGTAAGGTGCAAACTATAAAACGGTGTCTACGGTAGCGGCATGCACTCATCGAGACCGGAGAAAGTAGCAAACAAACGAGAGATTTACGATGCAATCGACTCGAATTCGAAAAAATATCCAAGCTTGTTTGTTTTCCTCTCTACTTTCTCCAAAATCGAAGTGAAAACCGAAGTAGCGCGCTCTTCCGCCACGTCGTCTTCATTTCACACTTGGAAACAGTGCTGGAGTATCTCTTAAATTTTTGCAACTTTCTGTTTTTTTTTTTTTTTTTTTCATTATTATCAAGTAATGAATATTTTCGTTTTGACGCAGCAGCTGGAAACAATTGTTTATGCGAAAATGATGCAATCAATGAGGCGAAATCTGTGAAGGTGCGTGGAAAATTTTGTCACAGAAATTCGAAAAACGTGAGAGTCTGAAATCAATCGTATTTGAACTTGAACGGAACCGAAAATGTCAGCACAATGTTCTTTCTATTTCAAACAAAAAAAAAAAAAAAAAAAAAAAAAAAAAAAAAGAGAGAGAGAAAAAAAAAATATTGAAAAAATCGTTCCAGCTCGTCATGTTCCGAGGACATTGGACACAGCCGGCACTGTTGGCGAAAACTCGAAAACTCCGTCGACAACGTCGTCGTGTTGAATCCCCAAGGAGACAAAGTGGGGAAAATCGGTGAGACGTCGGTGAAGCGTTATATGCTCGTCATGATGCATAGAAAAAAGAAAAGAAAAAGTAAAAACGAAAGAAAGTAAGAGAGAAAGGAAAGAAAAAGAAGAAAAAAGGGGAGAACATGAGAGAAAGAAAAATCGAGTGCAGACAGTTATTTAAAAAAAAAAATTAAAAAAAAAAAATGGTTAATCGACAGAGCGAAGCATTCTTTTTTTTCTTTTTTCTTTTTTCTTTTCTTTTCGTGAAGCAGCTCTTCGAGTTCCTTCGTCCAAGGGACTGAAAGCGATCGATCACGGTACAACACGCGTGTGAAATTCGTGTGGTTCGTCAAACAATTAGGAAGGGCAGCTTGCAAAAATTGTAGCACGGTTTTGACTGAGGTGTAACTGTACCTCTTACGTGAACCATCTTGGGCAGTTCTGGCGGAGTGAATGTGGGGGGAGGATGGTGGTCGTCTGTAACAAACCACTACACATGTTAGCTACCCTAATTTACCTAAGGCCTAGTTCGCTACGCTATCGCTACCACTGGCCATTCCTATGCTTGCGCTTCGAATTAATTAAACTTCGTTAAAAAGCTCCGTTCCAGTCGTTTTCACGCCAATTCTCCTTCCTCTCGTTTCGTTCCACGAAGAGAATTACTATATATCGAATTACTATCCTCGATCTCTTGGACTTTCTTTCATTTTCCTTCAATTACCTTTATATATTTTATATTACCTTAATAATATAAAATAATATCTCGTGTCGTTCAGCAATTACATTTAATTATTAATAAGGCATTAATTATTTTAAATAAAGAAGCATCACTTTTAACCTCGTCATTTTTGGACGTCATTTCACAAAACCAACGGAGTAGTATATACATAATAAACAGTGTAGAATTATGCGTAATAAATTTTTGAATGAAAGAGAGACACCGACGATCGTTCCGTGTTCCATGTTAGACTGATCGCAGAAACCGTATAAGTGATCCTTAACGTTCTATCAAGGTGATTACTACAACTACGCTTCGCAAAGCTAATTTCTCTATCGTCCCACTACTTTGTTTGCTTGAACATAGATAGAAAGCAGAAAGAGTTTTCTCTTATTTAAAAAAAAACGAGCACATTCTTTCTAACATATACTGTACGTGCCAGGGTCCATTTGCACTAATGATTGCACTGCCTGAACGATTGACAAAAATTACGAGCGACATTCCAATGTAGAGCAAATTCTTTGGTTCGTTGCGAAACCTCGCAAGCAGTGACGATTAATTCACTCGTGCAACTGGCCCAGGCTGAACTTATGCCATGTGCAAAAGTTGGTTGCGTGGTCAGTCTACGTTTTGGAAACAGGACGACGACTTTTGAATCACTGCCGACTGGAACGGAGCCTGCACTCTCTAACTGAGATTATAATTATAAATACTCTAATTCGAGATATATTACTTGGAAAATCTTCCGTTGTTTTTTTTTTTTTTTTTTTTTTTTTTTTGTTTCAATGCTGCTCGTTGCAACGCGGACGAGTCCAGTTAAGTTTAACCCGGGGGAGAACACTGTCAAATCAGCGTACGATTGTTGTTGAAACAGGAAAGAGAGAGAGAGAGAGATAGAGAGAGAGAAAGAGAGAGAGAGAGAAAGAGAGAGAAAGAAAAAAAAAATATAAAAGAACAATCTGTACATCTGTGAATCTCCTCCGCGTTGTTATCGTTAGCCTAAACTAGTGGTGATTTCTATACATTGTTCACGTGTATAATCAAATCACGAAGCACTGTGCACAGGCGAATACTGACATCTCATGCCAACATTCCCAAAGGCAAAGAACGAAAATTCGACGAGACACGGAGGAATCATTCGTTCCGCGTTCAACTAATAAACTGAATAAACATTATTGCTTTCCAAGACGCGTCTTCGTCCATTGCCTCTGACAATGAATCGTCTATCTATCTACCTCTACGGATCACTATGGTACGTAAACATGCACTAATTAATTTCTGAAATAATGTGAATATTTACTCGATTATTACAAGTGCAGTCGGTGAGACTCAAAAAATATAAACTCGTGCGACAGATTTTGGGGGGGGGGGGGAAACTCTGAGAGAGAGAGAGAGAGAGAGAGAAAGAGAGAGTCGTGTGTACTCGTGTCGAGAAGCAGAGTTTACGAAAAAAAAGGGGGTGGCTGGGGGGTGGGTCAGATAAACGGGTGGGGGAGAGATATATATCGTATTGTGGTGTAGAGCTAGTGTGAAACTCGTCGTTTGCAAAACTATTCGCGAATCGAATGCAGCTCTTTATCTTGTGAGCACTTTTCTTTTGCCATTGGCGTCCGTTAAGCTCCTAAACTTCAAGCTTAACTTGACCGTGGGAGGGAAACTCAAGTGGCGCGTGTAAAAGGTCACATCGTCATTTGCCGCGTGTGATCATTCATCTTGCGAACGTTTAAACGTTGATTCTTCAAGTTCCGATACGTTTATCGATACGTGATAATTTGACAGGTGATGTGAAATGTTGGGTAATCTACTGACAAACAGCGACGAGATAAAGAAAATCCTTTGTTCTTCAATTCTTTGAACGATCGTTTACTATTACGAATTAATGTGATAGTTGTCAGCGACTCGGCCGATACACTATGTGCACGTAGCACGTGTCGAATTCGGGAATGTTTTCAAAATTGTAATACCTTTTACGAAAGATTAATATCGATATTAACATTGGTATTAATACTGATATTAAACTATGATCAGAATGCTGGGAAATTTGCTGAGAAGAATACTGAAAGTTGAAGTTAAAATTTTCACAACGTTCCGAAAAAAACCGAACAATTCTAATATCTTTTAAAGCTGTTCAAGTTTCACAAGAGAGAAATCAATAAAATTTTAAACTATGATCAATATTAAACTATGCTCGAAAATATTTGTTGAAAAATATCCAATCATAGTGTGATGAAACCACAGAATTTTGAAGAGCACAAGGATCTTCCTTTAAATTCTCGAGAATTTTAAAAATCTGTTACTGCAATGCATAAAAATCGATGCGATGCTCGTAATAAAAAACATACGAACTTCGAAATCAAACGAGCGAGTGAAACACGAAACACATCACAGTGGCCGTGATGTTGAAGTAATTCATTTTTCTGTGACCATGTACAGGCTACCTTCTTACGAACTATGCCTTATCAGTACGGATTCGCGCGGTGAACGTATGCATACATAATATGTACATAAATATTGATCATTACACCCGCTCTATATTAGACTTACTTGCATACGAGAAGTCTTCACCTAAGTAGAAGTAGAGGACGAAGAAGAGAAGAAAGTTCAAACAGATAGACACATAGAAAGTTAGTTAAAGATATCTTTTCTTCATGTTCCGGTGTGTGTATAATAATGTGTTTGTGTGTGCACGTACTCGCGGCCACGTATATGTATGATTGTGTGTGTATATATATATATATGTGTGTGTGTGTGTGTGTATATATACATATATATACAGGATGTCCATAAAGTCTCTTTACAATTTCAAAAATTTATAACAAAGATAAATAAAAAAGAAGATAAGTGGAAATTATTAGAAAATGAGATGTATATATTCAAGTTTTTTCTACCTCGTTTAATATACACCTCTATATGGGCACCATTAGTTGCAGATAATCGATTTCCTGCCATGTTCGCTGTAGCGTGCCCTCATCAATGATGGCAATGTGTCATCAGTGACCCTCTGCTTTTAGATTAGTCATGTCTCGTATCTTTGTTCGATACGCGATACACAATGTGAGAACCTAGGGATCAGAAAACCCATCCATGTGACTAGGGAACTTCAGCGAGATAGTCCAAAGGTGAATGTCTGGTGTGGGATCAAGTGCAATCGAGTCATTGGTCCGTTTTTTCTTCGACGAGACGTCAATTACTGCAAACGTTTACCTTGATCTCTTGACTGAATACGTGGCACCACAACTACATGACCTTCAACCAGTCATCATTTTCCAGCAAGATGCTGCACCACCACATTGGGGACTGCACGCTCGTGAGTTCCTAAATGAAACATTTCCAGACCGGTGGATTGGAAGGGGTGGCCCAATTCCCTGGCCACCTGGTTCACCAGGTATCCCCTCGACTTCTTTCTATGGGGTTATGTTAAAGATATCGTGTATCGAACAAAGGTACGGGACATCAGTAATCTAAAACAGGAGGATCACTGATGCTATCGCCATCATTGATGAGGATATGCTACAGCGAACATGGCAAGAAATCGTGTACCGTCTTGTGCTTCGTGCAACCAATGATGCCCATATAGAGGCATATTAAATGAGACCAAAAAAAAACATAAACATATACGTCTCATTTTGTAGCAATTTTCACACATCTGTCTTTTCATTTGCCTTTGTAATAAATTTTTCAAATTGTAAATAGACTTTATGAACACCCTGTATATTACACCGCAGTGGTTCTTTTATTTCTTTTTTTTTTTTTTCAGATGTGCTTGCGTGCTCACGTATGTGTAATGTCTCGTGATATACATATATATAATAGATGTTACATATAATATGCACGCATGGATCATAGATGAATCACGGGTGAAAGAGAAAGAGAGAAAGAGAGTGAGAATGATCGTGTGTTGAGGCTCCGATGAGCGGTGCGGAGTGAAACTGATCCATTGATTTTTTTCTTACCCTCCTTCTACATACTCTTTTTTTTTTTTTCTTTTTTTAATCTCCCGTTTATACTACGTCCCGGTAACATTTTCACTTTTTTTTTTTTTTCTTTTTTTAACGCGAACATTGGAGCAATCACGCAGACTTATTTACTTCCAGCAAATTGCCACTCGACTATGTCGGGATAACAACGTCAGAGAAATTTGTAAAAAAAAAAAAATTTCGCGCGTGACGAGAAAAAAAAAAAAAAGAAATGAACGTTGAATGGCGTCGGTAATCGTCGAAGCATTCGATTAGCAGAAACGTAATCGAAATTTTCTTTTTCACAGAGTAATTAGAAGAAAGGAAATGTTCCAATTTTGAACTTGAAATCAACTCGAACGCGCAGAGTGTTACGTCTCAGTCGGAACAGTGGAATATCTGATACTTTTCGCAACAAACAGCTTCACATTTCACTTGAAAGATTTATCAACCGAAAATATTTTTCCAATGACTTTAATAATTTCTCGTCAGGTATTCCAGATGTTCCTCGCTCAAACGTAAATTGACAACAAATGTTTGTGTTTGAAAATATTTTCGAAAGAAAAGAATTTAGGACACACTGAAAACATAAAAGCACGTGGTATTTTTTTCGTTTTTCTTCTTCGTTTTCTTTTCGCCGAAATGTCGTCTGTAACAACTCGAAGCACATAAGTACTGCACACTTAAATATTTAAACACCTGTGATCGTTCAACATCTGCAACAACACGTTCGAGAACACTCAAGGAATCAGAAGCAAATACACGAGGACATCGAGGGACAACTTCTCCAATGATAAAAATGTTAATAATATCGAATCTGCCATAAGACGATTAAAGAAACCACGCAAATGAACACTAATTCTAAGGTATTCTAAGAACATGTCGAATAGATATAGTTAGATATATAAATATATATATATATATATATATTGAACACCGATGCAAGATCAAGTTGGAAGTAGTCGAAAAAAAGGAATGAAAGAAAAAAATAAAAAAAAAAAAAGATTCTCAAGGCAACCACATTGCGCGAAGTCCCGCTCGAGTTAGACGTTTCCTCCTTCTTTATTATCATTTTTTTTTTTTCTTTTAATAATTCACTCACAACAATAACCATCGAAAAAAAAAAGAAACACTTACATACCTCCAGAGAACTACATTCAAAACGACATCGATAGAAATATATATGTAAATTTTGGTTGCATAAGAAAAGATAAAAAAAAAAAAAAAACAGAAATAAAAGACAGACATCACATCAATAGGAATTCAAAACACTAACAGTAGTCTACTTCGAAAAACCAATTTAGTGTTAGATTCAGATGAAGTCACATAGATTGGCACAACGAAACACGTCTATGACATAATATTCATGTACTCTAACTTTTGAGGCACGATTAAATCAAGAAAACTATGCGTATTTAAACCGTTGCGCTGTATTTCGTTTGTTGAGACGTTCAAACACTCATCTGCATTTTTAGCGAGGAAGCTTCGATAATTAACTCGTTGTGGAACTGAACTACGGCTACGGCGAATTTAACGTTTAAATATTGGTCAGTTTGTATTTCCTTCTTCTAATTGGCGTTTGGCAATGATATTCAACGATACCGTATGCTTTGCCAATTTTTTTTCAATTCTTCTCTCAAGGAGAACTGAACGCGTTAAGAGGAGGATCTCCGCGATCGACCTTTAAATCGAATATTTCTCCGAATTATGATATTCTTCGCGATTCCGATAATCGCAATTCCGAGACCATTGCAAATATTGAATGACATTCATAACATTATATATTAATAATCATCAATTATATAATTATTAATAATATATATTATTAATAATGTTGTTAAAATGAAATTAAATAATTTTGAATAATATTCACAATATTGTATATTAATAATTATTAATAATATGTAATAATTATTAATTATATAATCATTAATAATATATAAAAATTATTAATTATATAATTATTAATAATATACATTAATAATAATGCTGTTAAAATTAAATAATTTTGAATAATATTCATAATGTTGTATATTAATAATTATTAATTATATAATTATTAATAATATACATTAATAATAATGCTGTTAAAATTAAATAATATTCATAATGTTGTATATTAATAATTATTAATTATATAATCATTAATAATATATAATAATTATTAATTATATAATCATTAATAATATATAATAATTACTAATTATATAATCATTAATAATATACATTAATAATAATGCTGTTAGAATTAAATAATTTCGAATAATATTCTATATTAATGATTGTTAATTATATAATTGATAATAATGCTGTTAAAATTATAAATAGCAGGCTCGGCTCGTCATATTGATTTAAAGGTCCCGCGAAAACCGAATAGAATGCACGTACTCATTTGGAAAAAAAAAAAAAATAAGAACAAAATCTCCGCTGTGTTGTAATAATACATTCGTGTCTTGCTCGAAACGACGGGGAGAGGCTAAGATCAGATTTAGAGAAAAAAAAAAAAAAAAAAAAAAAAAAAAAAAAAAAAAAAAAAAATGAAAAGAAAGAAACAAGAGGGAATGACACGTGGAAGACAATCTACATTCGGGGGGATACATACTTGCTCTTCCAACCATTTGAACAGCTCGCACGCCTTTCCGGAATGTGGCCACTGCCCGAAGGGAGGAGAACCAGAGCTGTTAGTTGTTATACCAAAATAATGTGAACCTAAATACGGGGGGGGGGCGTAGGGGGTGGTTTTGGGGGTGGGTGGTAAAACGTGGGCGAGGGAGAGTTTGCGCGCTCGACCGAAAACTCTCCGCCGATTCGTCACGTTGCGAATATTTGTGAAAAATATTCACGTTCCGTTACGTTCCACACAATATTACTGCATTATTTTTACATTTGTTTGTTTACACATTATTGGGTTATTTATAGGTTATTCAGTTAGAACGGCGGCAACGTGACAATCGGCATTGAAATCGGTTTCGGTCCGGAGTACAGAGAGAAATATACAGTACAGGTACAGTATGGGGTACCATTGTTGAGTTTACACACAGTGGCCGGCGATACACTCGTTACGTTTGTTTTTCTTTGTTTTCTTTTTCTTTTTTTTTTTTTTTTTTTTTTTTTTTTTGGTAATCGATCAAGCTATACCATGACATCCTACTTAATTTTAGTACTTAATTTTATTTGTTACATTTTTTTTTTTTTTTCCTTTCCAGAGAATATTCGACTGTAGGATATTAAATATCGGAGTAACGTCGACGTTATTGTTGTGATGTCAGTGAATGATATATCAAATATGCGCAACATGTGAGGGGAGAATGAAGTATTTTTAATCGGTGTGTTCGATAAACCCTGGGCATCGATTATCATCATCCGTGTAAATTTAGAACTAAAGGTGCTTACACCGGTGGCATTCACTTTGCCTACTCGTGGTACGTACCTCCAACGTATTTCTTTTCTCCCTTTTTCAAATTTTCCCTTCGCAAACGTACGTACATGAACGTACATGTACTATATATATATATATACACAGGCACACGCACGTGCACACTCACGCAGATGCACCTAAGCGGGCACGACTCGCTTTCGTTTAGTATTAAAAAGGTTTTGGCAGCCAAAGGGTTTTATACAAGCCTCGAATATGTATATCCAGCTCGTTGCAACGACTCGTCGATATTACCCTCCGATTTTCTAAATCATTTTCATCCTGCTGACATTATACTCTACGAATGTGTACACACACACGCGCAAACACACACACACACGAAACAGTAAGTAAAGCTTTTATAGAGTCTACAGCTTACTCTAGAATCGTGACTGGTCCCAAAATCCGGGGACGAGAAATGTAGGCGAAAGAAAAATATAATAAATAATTGTGTCTCTCAAGGGGTGGTCAGTCGCAGGAAGATTGCGTCAAACCAATCAAGTCTGTCTAATCGGGAAACAAACTCTTGTCTCTAACTTGTTTCGCATGCAGAATGATCGTCGATGATGGTTGAACGGTGCAGAAGTCAAACAGAGAGTGTAGAGTGGAGGTTCCTCTCGCGAGTGAGAGAGAACGAGAACACGTTTCATTCGGAATGAAAAGAACGATAGAATTTCAAACATTACGTTACGAACATGAACTTGGAACTCACATCCGAATTGAATTGGAATTCAATGTTCAAATTTCTGATCGAGCTTGACATTCAAACTTAATTTTTCAATTCGAGTTTGAAGGTCAAATCTGAATTTAACTTTGAATTTCAATTCGAATTAAAGGAACGAGATGGTAGAGCTCTGAAACAGCAGTCTTTCTAGCAGATTCTTCGCGCGAAAGGAAATTAGCAACCAATTGCATCTGCGAGTAAAATGAATTCCTGTTGTTGTCGATGAAACAAACAGAAGCTCGCCGGCGAGATGTAAGAAGCGCGAGATGTTGCTTGCAAACGAAAAGTAACAACCGTTCGAGAAATTGCACAGGTTACGCAACAGTTATTCAAACAGTGAAAACAAAATCGTGAAGTTAGAAAATCAAGATTCATTCCCCGAGAAGAGGAGAAGAGCGAATCAGTTTACGTAGAGTGTTGCATAAAGTAAATGAAAACGTTTTCTACGAGAAAAGGAACGTCGAACGACGTTACCAGAATCTGTAAATCACCGGAAGTCAGAAAATCCTGAAAAACTGCTCGGGAAAAAGAAAAAAAATAGAACGCAAAACGCTCACATTCTAAATTGCGAACTGAGGGAAAGACGGTGGAGAAACGTAGAAAGATTTGACGTAAGCACACCGAGCAACTGGTAAAAAAGGAAAAAGAAAAGAAAAGAAAAGAACGATAGTCATTGGCAAGCCTTGAAACGAGCAAATGTTTCTTTAGTCAGTGAAACGTAACAGCCAGGAACGTGTAGACACAGAATAGTAATATACGGCTTGAATAGAACGTGCTTAGGCGTAAAATGTTTAGCATATCTGCGAAAGCGACGACTTCTTTTAGTGAGAACTGAAGCGACAAAAAGAAAAAAAATATATATATATGTGTGTGTGTGTGTGTGTGTATTTCGTATGGAAACGCAATCCTGTACATATAAAACGACGTGTAAAAAAACGATGTTTTTCGTCCAGCTTTGGATACGACGTTGCTGCTCTCGGCTGTTCGAGAAACAATGATCGCCAAATTATAGGTTAGCTCTATAGCAAAAGCCCAGCGAGAAAACAGTACGAATCGAACGACGTCAAATTACAGAACGTTCAGACACAGGTATCGTGGAGTAAGTGCCGATCGTGTGACGGTGAATTAACTGTTGAAAACATCGAGAAACTTGCATTCGAAAGTTTGCATCACTTACGCCATCTTACCTGGTTAAACGTAAACGTCAACTGAACTCAGCTGTTTGAGTCAATTTTTTTTTTTCTTTTTTTTTTTTTGCACACTAAATAACACAAGCTGTTTGTCGTTTTAAGTTGAATATTTATAACAAGTAAGCTATCACTTTTCTTTTTTTCTTTTTTTTTTTTTTTTTTTTTTTTTTTTTTTTTTAGAAATTCGACTCAAACAGAGAGAATTTGTCAGAATAATGAACCGTTTTATTTTTCTTTTTGTTTTTGTTTTTTCCGTGACACGTTGCCCCACCGATCCGAATCTGCAATTCTCTTTGACGATTATTCTGACAAAATTTTGTAGAACACGGTTCGACAAAAGGATGTGCAATTAGGATGAACAGGACGGCAAGGAAGGTACAAAGACGCGTACCGTCGAGGTAACTGCTGTAGGCAGTGTTTCCTTTCACCATGCCGGTCTGCATCATCATCATCCCCACATCTGTAAAAATCGAGCGGTCGGCCCGGACACATGTTTGTCAGTAAACACGCCAGGGACAATTCTACTGAAATAACTGGTAAATGGTTATGGGAGGAGGTCGCCGGTTATAAAATACAGGGCTCGGCTGGGAACTAGACATAACCATATGTATATTAGATTAAATTAGATATGCAAAGGTATCGTACTGTGTTGCTCGACACTTTGGCAGCGTGTCCTGCCAAATGATCAAACGAAAGTTTCATTTATAAAGTTATACATCAAGGTTTTTAATATTAATTTAAATATATTACTTGTCCTGAATTTTTATAAGTAATTTTTGTTTATAAATAATTAATAAAGGTACGGTGTTCAAAAGAAACGGTCCATCTCAACGTCGCGTGATTGTAAGTAGAATAGTCGCCGAACCGTACCGTGTCAGACGCAGTCTCTGCTGCACAGAGGCGAGCGCAAGTAGAATAAGAGTCGTGCCGTGTCTGACACGTCCCAACATAATCAACTCTGATTCTTTTGCAATTTGAAATTCAAAAGTCTGTGTTTTATGAAAGAAGTATTTCTAAAATTTTTGTATCTGTGTATAATTGAAAATTCAAAAGTGTGTATTTTATGAAAGAAGTATTTCTAAAATTTTTGTATCTGTGTATAATCGAAAATTCAAAAGTGCGTATTTTATGAAAGAAATATTTCTAAAATTTTTGTATCTGTGTATAATCGAAAATTCTAAAGTGCGTATTTTATGAAAAAAGTATTTCTAAAATTTTTGTATCTGTGTATAATCGAAAATTCAAAAGTGCGTATTTTATGAAAGAAATATTTCTAAAATTTTTGTATCTGTGTATAATCGAAAATTCTAAAGTGCGTATTTTATGAAAAAAGTATTTCTAAAATTTTTGTATCTGTGTATAATCGAAAATTCAAAAGTGCGTATTTTATGAAAGAAATATTTCTAAAATTTTTGTATCCGTGTATAATCGAAAATTTAAAAGTGCGTATTTTATGAAAGAAGTATTTCTAAAATTTTTGTACCTGTATATAATCGAAAATTCAAAAGTGTGTATATCATGAAAGATTCTAAAATTTTTGTATCTATATATAATTTGAAAATTTAAAAGTGTGTACTTTATAAAAGAAAATTCTAAAATTTTTGCATCTGTATATAATTGAAAATTCAAAAATGTGTATTTTATAAAAGAAAATTCTAAAATTTTTGCATCTGTGTATAATCGAAAATTCAAAAGTGTGTGCATCGTGAAAAAAAGATTCTAAAATTTCGGTATCAATGAAGAGTGATTGGAGTTAAACCGAATTTGATTTGAAAGAGTTTCCCTATTCGTAAACTTGTCAGTTTTTAATACAACTTTTCTCTCAACTTCTCATTCTGGTAGCAGAACACGTTGACAAAAACACAGTGTACTGCAAATATATATGTCCTGCAATATATATATATTCTATTACCTATTTATATAGTTATAATTTACAGATTCATACGTGAGGATAGTAACATGCACACTTTGGTGTTGCACAGTTTCGATTGTCAAATCAGTAACCGGAGATATTCACCCTCACGTATGAGCATCACGTTATCGTCAGCAAATCTCTTTGGAATTACCACGATGGATTTACCTACGTAGCCAGGATAAAGGATACCAAACAGGGCTGTACAAAAATAAACTACTAGAAAGCTCCTGAAACGTTGTTTACCTCCGATGTATCTTTTCCCGATCCTCAAACTTTCCAAACAACGATATAGTCGAGAGACCAAAAAGTCGGACAACGAAAAGAATTTAATGAAAAAAAAAAAAAAAGAAAAAAAAAGAGAGAGAAAACGTTGATTGCCCAGGGTTTAAGACTTAGCATGATGGAGGGGATTGAATCTTGTACAGACCTTTCGTACGGATCAGATGAACTGAATGGTTACGTGTGAGTGATGGTACATTGTGTGACATTATGTGAACAAGTGGAACTCTTGCAAGATTAGTTTTCTTCTTTTTTTCTATGTCTTTTTTTCTTTTTTTTTTTTTTTTTTTTTTTTTTTTACAACGAGATTATCGATCTGCTTAAGTTACGTTGCTGTATAAACGTGAGGTTTGTTGGATAAATTATTACCAGAATTATCAGCGAGAAATACCCCATTCAGGAAGTCGCTTTCATCGAGAGCGAGACGCACGTCGGTTAACGATAATGATCGAGGCAGTGTGCGCAGAAGATTATGATTCACGATCGACTGAACCTACCGACCGACAGAGTTTCATCAGTGACAGCTGGCACATTGAAAGTTCTCACACGATCGAAGAGAGGAGAGTTTCGTTTTTTTTATTTTTTTCTTTTTTTTTTTTAAATCTTTTTCTTAGGTAAAATAGCGATAGCGAATAATCGAAGAGAGCAGAGAGTTATTAAAAAGAGAGACAAAAACAGATAGAGAGAGACAGTACAGAAAGAGACAGACAGACAGAAAAGAGAAAAAGACAGAAGGGGGCGGGGGGAGAGAGACGAAATTGGAGGATATATTGACAGACAGAGAGAGAGAGAGAGAGAGACAGAGACAGAGAGAGAAACAGAGACAGAGAAAATAGAGAGCGAGTGAATTTTTTTTTTTTTTTTTTTTTTTTTTTTTTTTTTTTTTTTTTNTTTTTTCTTTTGGTATACGAAGCTGTCGTATCATCAAGGCGTAAAGTAGTATTCGAATCGGAAACTAATCATGCATGCAAGGCGAGCGAGAAGGGCACACACTAGAGTGCAGACTAAATTTCCTCGACTGGCCAGGTGGACATGCGCCAACTGACAGAACTATAAAAAGGGGGGCGGGGGAGGGAGGTTACATATCACGTGTGTGTATGTCAGTGGTATTTCATTTTTCACGTCACGCTACTCGACTGACGAAACGGAAAAAAAAAAAGTGCGATTCGACATGTGATCAATTGATCAACAAAATTTTCATTGATCGGAAGAACAACACTCGAAAAAAAGCGTGGAAAACCAACGGTGGGCGTCGCTCGTCGGAAAACCAAACCGTTTCGTCACGAAGAATCTATCCGTCTAATAGAATACCGAGCTTTCGCAACGGATCAGAGAGAAAGAGAGAAAGAGAAAGAGAGAGAGAATACGTGTTTGTGTGTGAGAAACAGAGAGAGAGAGAGAGATAGAGAGAAATCGGAAACACACGGAGAACCGTGAAAAACGAATGAATACCCAACTGTTGGCATCGCAATCGCGTCGAACGCAGTGTCTCTGAATGAGGAGGATTTAAAGGTGCAATCATCTCATCGCCATTGTCATCGTCATAATCATCATCACCATCGTCTTGGCGTATATATATATATATATATATTTACATATGCATATGCATATACGTATATATATATATATATATGCAAGATAATGGTTAAAAAACTCGAAGGCATATGTACACATAATTAAGACACAAAAAAGACAGAAATATGCAAAGAGGCAATGATCATAGAGACAGAGAAAAAGAGAGAGGGGGCGGGTGACGAGGGGGAGGGGACGAAGAATCGACAAACGCGTCGATGTTAAAACCAAGTGAAAAATAAGTAAACCACAGGAGAAAGAAACAAACGTGACAGAAAGTGATCGTAGTGATCGGTACAAGAAAATCAAATCAAAAGATCTCGACGGTTCTTCCCTGTTAACACATTCCTGACCGAGAAAGAGAAAGAGAAAGAGAAAGAGAAAGAGAAAGAGAGAGAGAGAGACAGAGAGTGTTTCATCGAGACGTTAAAAGATGCTGGTGAACACACCCGTTCCATCGTGACAAATTTTCTTTCGTCAGTATTATATCGTCGGAATTTGACAAACGGATAAACTTGATCGTGTTATTCTACGATTTACGTCACGAAAGCTGCTTGAAATTTTCTCGCATTAGAGGCACGTTGCGCCTCGCGAGGAAGCAAACGTCGACGGTCGTTAATGTGTTAACGTTGAATCGACAAAAAGAAGTCACGAAAGAGTGACGGGAGTTTAATAACAAAGAAGATGAACAGAAACAAACGGGAGAAGAATCGAGAAAGAACAAAAATAGAGGGGGGGGAGAGGGGGGTGAAAAAAACGATGGGAAGAGATAAAGGAAGACATAAAGGTGATAGTTATAAACGAGAGTAGTAAAGATCTAAGCGAGCGAGTATGAGACGTTACCTAAGTCCCGGCCCCAGGAGCGCTGCTGCTGCCCCACTAGATCATATATCACAAGAGGATGGTCACAACCATGTCACTTCGTTAATTGTCGCGGTAATTACTGCTACGGCTTTCAGTGGCAGAAGGGACACAAGAGAAAAAGAAAGAAGAGGAAAGGGTCGAAGGAGAATCACGGGCAGAGAGAGAGAGAGAGAGAGAGCTTTTTTTTTCCTGTGTGTGATCCGTCTGGTCTTACAACGTTAGTCTCTTACATGTAAAAGAAAGTCGTTAAGAAATCTCTCACGTTTCGTTTGTAGTCTTTGTTTTTTTTTTCTTTTTTTCTTTTCAGTTTGGTTCTTTTTTTTCTTTTTTTTCTTTTTTTTTTTTTTTCTTCGTTGCGAGTCACACGAAAATTCCTTAGCTGTGTCCCGATCCTGACACAGCTGACAACTGATCTCCTTCGTGGAAGCTAAGATCGAAGAATGTCGTTGTGTGTGATTCGCAATATTCGTAATACTCGGCGAACGTTTCGCGCGCTCTACAGAGTTATATAAATGTTAAATATCATTGTTATTATTATTAGTATCGTTACTATCATTATATACGTATATTATATATAATTAGATGCGAAGGGAGTAACGTTCGACAGAACGGAATCCCGGTTAGTAAGAAATTCGATAGCAGAGAATATTCAGAGCGAGAATAGAGAGAATTATTTCGGTAGTATAAGGGTTATCACTAGACTAGAAAGACTTACAATTTTTGCACTTGCACTTCTTGATCAGAGTTTCGTCTTTTATATCCTCGTGGCATGCTTTGCAATAGAACCACGCCCTGGAAAACACATTTGCAACGGTTAGTTGAACGCTGAAATGACTTGAGGGGGGAAGCTTCGTCGGTTTGGTTCGTACAAGCTAATCGTTCACATCGTCGAAATTGTCTACGATTTGATCTGTCGTTCGTGTTACTTTCGAATATCTGTCGGCACGCCGCGTGATTGAAGTAAATCTTGGGGCGTCCGACATATCGTTTACTAACACTACTGAAAATGCTCGCTCTCCCTTTGGCGACTAGTAAAGTTATTCTGATAATCCAGCTTTTAAAAAATCGATTTTTTCTTTTACATTTTCTCAAAGTATGTGCTTTCGAGAATGCCCGTGTGAAAGGATTTGTCTGAATTCGTGAAATTAGCAAAGTTATAGATGTTTAAAGGAAACGGTGTACTGCTCGCGACGTAAGTTATGAATATTTTTGTACAAAATGTGTTTTTCTCAAAAAATATTTTATTTTATAATATTATATTATTATTTAAATATATATTAATTATTATATTAATATTACATTATTATATTACTATTATATTACTATTATTTATATTATTATTTAAAAAAAATATTAATTATTATATTGTTATTACTTTATAATATTTTATTTTTTGTACTGCCCGATTGATTGTAAGTATAAATATTTTTGTACAACGTGTAACAGAAACTTCAAGTGTGTCTTTCTCAAATCCATATTTTTTAAACTGGCTGACGGGATATCTCACGTTTTAGTTGACCGATTGACTTGAAATTTGGGGGAGATCTTCATCGGATATACCTTTATCGCATGAACCACGGATTTCAAAATCTGATGATTTTTTTCTATTTTTTTTTTTTTTTTTTTACCCCCCAAAAAACGAAAA